TCCCTGCCTCCCTCCCTCCCTCCCTCCCTCCCTCCCTCCCTCCCTTCCTTTTTCTTTTTAAGATGGGGTCAAACTGTGTAGACGTGAAATTCACTATGGAGACCAGACTGGCCTTAAACTCACAGAGATCTGCCTGTCTACAGGGCATTGGAATTAAAGAATATGCCACCATGCCTGACATTGGATTTTACTTTTAAGATGCAGTGTTAGATGAAAGAGCAAGATCAGAACATATAAAAGGAGTGAAGGGCAAGTACTACTGTCCTTATGAAGGAATAGACAACTGTAAAAAGCCACCCAGGCGTGGCACAGCAGACATGTCTACAGCTCCACCACCCGTGACTGAGGAATACAAACTCGAAGGCAGGTGGGACTGTCTCGTGACCCTCCGGAGGAGTGACTAGGGAAGGAAGACAATGCGACTGCAGTCAAGTCACATTGCAGAGTACAAGCTGAGCTCCACAGGAACAGCTCACAAGACAGTCACAGCCTGTGAGTGCGCTTGGCAGCCAGCATGGAGGACAGACAGAAACATCAGCCTAGCCAATGAAATCTGTTTTGTTGTCTTTACTTACATCATATGTCTAGTGAAACCTGAATTAACAGAACCCTGGTCCCTCAGCCAAATTGATACCTATATCTCTTTAAAGGACATTGTGAAGAGATCAAGAAAGAATGCCAGTCATGTACACAGCAACTGCTTGGATCCACGAAGAGGCAAGTGGTTTTGGCTATTATTGAATGATACTTCCACAGTCCAGGCCACTCTGGACGTACAAACTTCTCAGAGAGCAGTGACAGTACTGACTGTGCTGAGCATCTGTCAAAGGATTTGCTGGGACTGTGAAAGAACAGGCAGGGACTGGTACCTTTAGGGCCGTAGATTTTATGCCCACTGATGCTCATGAGATCAATTTTCATGTCATTGACATCAAGTGGGATTTTCCCAACAGCTTGGGCTGCATCAGTATGGAAGTACACCTTTCTGGAACTGCAAATCTTCCCTGAGGAATGACAGAGAGGCAGACACATGGCACAGTGAATGTAACCTGACATGCCAGGCACCATGAATATTTTAAGTGACTGATAGCATACACACACACACACACATACACACACACACACACACACACACACACACATACATATATACACATACATACAAATGTGTGCATGTGTATATATATATGGATATATATATGGATATATGTGTGTGTATACATGTATATGTGTATATGTATGTGTGTGTGTGTCCACTCCTACTCTCTGCCTTTCCACTTCCCCCCCCACGACCTTCTCTAGCTCCCTCCCAATTCCCAGCCTCTTTGGTATTACTCAAAAGATCAAGGGCAAAACACCAAACTACAAGCACACATGACATTTTGATGCCCAAGATTCTTCATACCACTTCATTAACCATGAATATTGTGAATGTAATATCAACTTTTAAATACTTTTTTATTTAAAAGAAGAAAAGAGTACAGATATTTTTGCTAATTTGCAGAGGGATTACGAGGTGAACTCTAAACAGAGATAAACAACATCCAAAAGAGAAAAAAGATATATGGTTTTTTCTTGTTGTTTTGTTGTCATTTGGGGCAAAAACTAAAACAAAATGTAACAGTAACAACAACAACCATAAAGGGCACATAACCCTAAATTCTAAAAACTCACATAGTAGCCAGCTAGAATGTGGGTCAGCAAGGCACACAGCTCTTCCCGTTGGTCCACTTGGCTTTTGGGTCAGAGCTCTGTGTCACGGTTCCTTCCGTGGCCCGCAGGGTGGTAAGGATCAGGTTAACCTACCATACTCACCTATTTCTGCAATCGGTTGCTTTACTCCAATCTCATTGTTCACAGTCATAACGGAGACCAGACTAGTGTCTGGTTGGATGGCAGCCTCCAGTTCCTAAGAAGGCAGGAGGAAGGAGGCTATACGATGCCGAGAGACAGCCATATAAACAAAAATGATGACAACCTCAAATCCAGAAAAGGGGCCTTGCGCTATAAGCCTATGTAAGCATGCAAGTAAGAGGGGTATGACGCATGTCTGAGGCACTGAGATCAATCCCTAGAATTAATGTTTAAAAACGAACAGCAACAGACAAATAACAACACAAGAGGCTATAGGCGTGGCTCAGCAGCTGTGAGCAGTGCCTGCTTGTCCCAAGGATTCATGTGTAATTCCTAGCACACCATGGGGGATCACAGCTCTCAGGAACTCCAGGTCCAGGGTATTGGACACTTTTTTCTGGTCTCCACAGGGACCAGGCACAGACATGAATGCAGGCAAAACACCCAAACACACACACACACAAAAAAGCTATAAAAAAGGTCAGGCATGGAAGCACATGTGGATAATCTCAGGTCTTAGGAGGTAGGGGCAGGAAGAACATGAATTCAATGCCAACCTGGGCAACATGAGATCCTAGCTCATAAAAATAAGAAAATACAGAGGCTGGGGGCTGGAGAGATGGCTCAGTGGTTAAAAGCACTGACTGCTCTTCCAAAGGTCCTGAGCTCAATTCCCAGCAACCACATGGTGGCTCATAACCATCTGTAAAGGGGTCTGATGCCCTCTTCTGGTGTGTTTGGAAACAGCTACAGTGTACTCATATAAATAAAATAAATCCTTAAAAAAATATTAAAAAAAAAAAGAAAAGAAAAAAGAAAATACAGAGGCTGGAGAGATGGCTCAGCAGTTAAGAGCACTGGATACTCATCCAGAAGTTGAACTCATCCGGAGTTCAATTCCCAACACCCACCATGGTTACTCACAACCATCTGGGATCTGATGCCTTTTCTGTCATGCAGTCATACATGTAAACAGAATATGCATATGCATAAACAAGTAAACCTTTAAAAAGAGAAATATGGGCTGAAAAGAAGGCTCAGTGGTAATACAGTGCTGCTGCTGTAGAAGCCCTGAGTTGGAGTCCCAACACCCACATTCATAACCACCTTTAACACCCAGGAACACATAAATCTAAAGAGAAAGAAACTCTCCTTGGTAGGTATTGAAGCCCATGACTGTAACGCTAACTCTTAACAGATTGAGTAAGGAGGAGCAGGAGTTCAAGGTCATTCAAGTCTATATAGCCACTTCAGGCCAGCCTGAGATTCCTAAAATACTGTTTCAAAGACCAAAACCCCCAAAAGCTTACATGAGTTCCTTATTAGACCAAATAAACAAAGCCTGATTTCAACCCACTATAACACTACAGGAGTAAGAACAGTGTAATCACATGAGTGCAGACATGGACAAGTACAGAAACCTATACTCAAGCCTTTTCTTTGAGACAGGCTCTCACTGTGGAGTCCAGGCTATCCCCAAACCCTGGTGATCCTCTTGTTTGAGCCATCAGGGTACTGAGTTTAAGAGTGCCTCCTCCATGTCTAGCCTATGCTAACATGCTGGCTTTTGCAGTTCTGGGGATCAAGCCCACAGCACTGTGCATGATAGTCAAGAATTCTACCACAGAGCTACACCTCCAGTCAGCATGCTTCCTTTATAGGGTGATAAGAAACATCAATGCAGGGAAGATAGAGGCCAGAGCTCTCCTGTAATGTAAGTCCCTGATGTCCTACGCTCATGTCCCGTAGCTCTCATACAAAACAGGGTCACCAAAAACGCTGAGAGGCAAGTTTTCCATGGAGAACAGTGCACACATAAAGAACATAATCTTCTCTGCCACACTTGATTCATGCTCCACTCTCACTGCTCATCAACCTTAGGCTCCACCCAAAGCTGGAGAGGCCGACTTACGGGATGGAGCCGGGCTCCTCCCATTCTGTCCCTCATGCCTAGTGGCATTCCTACCTTTAAGTCAATGATCCCACTCTTCTGCACTGGGAGGTAAGTGACCCGAAAGCCCTCGGCTTCCAGGGAGCGGCAGGAATCCAGCACACATTTGTGTTCCGTCTGGGTGGTGACCACGTGTTTTTTCCTTGACTTGTAGAACCTAGCCACTCCCTAAGAATTGATGGTAATGTAATGAAGAAAAAAAAAAGGATAGCACACTTAGGGGCAGCAGTAACATGGATCCCATTTATAACCAGTCTTTCCGTGAGTGTATGTGCAGGACTGAACCCAGAGCCTCAAGTATGCCAAAGACATTCTACAGAACAAACGAAGGCCCAATCATGTATGTGATACTGTTAACATCAAGAGAAACTATAAAGGTAGGCTAATAAAAACTAAAATACCCAGAATTTCAAATGAACATTTATGTTATTAAAAGGACAAACAAACAAAACATAGCAAAGTATAGCCTACATACCCATGGGCTCAGCATTAAGGGGCATTTGCAAGAGGACACCTGCACACCGAGACTGTCTTGGTCTACATAGTAAGATCTAGGCCACTCAGGGCTACTGAATAAGACCTTGTCTCCAAACAAACAAAGGAACAAAAGGAACGAAGTGGAAAGTAAGAAAGGAAGTCAATGTAACTGAACCCAATAGCCTGTAGTCCTTTCTACTTTGGACACTGAGGACAGAGGATACTTTGAACTTCAAGTTTGAAACTAACTTGATTAACATAGTAAGATATTGTCTCAAAAATAAATAAATAAAATATAAAATGAGGCTGACAACTCGATCCCTAAGGTACTGGCTGCACACACATGAGGACCTCTTGGAGCTGGGGAGATGGCTCCTCAGGGCTCCTCAGTGCAGAGCACTTGCTGCGCTTACAAAGAACCCCGTATCCAGCATCCACAGCTGCCCTTGACAGGGGATCTGACACCCTCGTGAGGCTCTGAGGGAACCAGGCACACATGTGGCACACACACATACAGATTGAATAAATATAAATAAATCTCTTTTTTTAAAGTTTAAATAAATAGGGCTAAGCTCTAACCAGAATCCAGTGCTCTTGCATCCCAGTCTTGAAGAGGCAGAGACTGGAGAATCCCAGGGACACCAGCCACGCAGGCCGACCCAGTTAGGGAGCTCCAGTGCCATGGGGGGCTGGTGTTAGTGAGCAGGATGCCCAAGACTCTCCTATGGCCTCCCCATGTAGGTGACCTTCACTAGTAAATTATATATATATATATATATATATATATATATATATATATATATATTCACATCTGGCATTTAAACTGGTGTCATTGATTCATTACTTACTGAGTTATACTGCTTTCCTTTCATGTCTGTTTTACAATATAAATACTACTTAGCTTGGATGTCTCTTCTGTTTTTATTTAAGAGATATTCTTATTGAATAGAATATGCTTCAGGGTTCAACCTCTCTTACCATTCAGGGATTTATTTTGGTGAGACAGAGTCTCACTATGTAGCCATAGAACTCCCAGAGATCCACCTGCCTCTGTGTCCTAGTGCTGAGATTAAAGGTGTGCACCGTCACACCCAGCTTTGTTTAACTATTTAGAATAGCTAAGAAATGGAACCAGCCTAGATGTTCATCAACAGATGAATAGATAAAGAAAATATGTTACATATACAATACCATTTAATTCAGGCATAAAGAAAAATTAAATAATTGCATTTGCAGAAAAATAAATGGAATCAGAAATCACTATGTTAAGTAAAATAAGTCAGATACAGAAACAAATACTGGGCTGGCAAGCTGGCTGAGCACATGAGGGCACTTGCTACAGGCTGCCTGTCTGAATCCAATCTTGGTAGCCCAGGATGTGACCAACTCCCACCAGTTAGTGCTGACCCTAACACGTGTGCTATGGCACATGAACGCACACACACAAATTGATTAACTAAAAAAGATAAATGCTATTTACATGTGTGTGTGAATAGAGATTTTCATGTTTATAAGTTATAAAGGTAGCAAGGAGACCACGAAAGGGGAGAAAGATCTTTGCATATATGTGTCTATATGTTTGGAGGTCAGAGGGTAATGTCCAGTAGTCTAGTGTCCGTCTTCAGCTTCTACCTTATTTGGAGCAAGGTCTCTTTGTTGTTTGCTGGTAGGCTGCACCCGCCAGTCTAGCACACATGCAGGCTTCTGGAGAGTCTGCTGTCTCTGCCCCAGTGGGATTATAGACACACAGACTCACTCTTCTGGGCCTGGCTTTACCTGTACTCTCAGGATTTGAACTCAGGTCCTCACACTTGCACAGCAAGTGCACTAACCACTGATCCACTTACTACCTTCTTAATGAAGAGGGGAGGGAGAGAGAACGAGAGGCTAATGAACTATGTGTAACAGGAGCGAGAGAGAACTCTCTGGGGATGCGAACAGAGCAGCGTAGCTGAGTCAGGGTAACGTGGGTGGAGAGTGAACAAGGGCCAAGTAGAGTGCAATACATGTACAAAAGCCCATAACAAAATTCATTATGCTTTATGCTGATTTTCAACATTTAAATTTGCTGTTCTTGCAAAGGACCCTTGCTCAGTTCCCAATACCTTCATGGCAGTTCATAACCATCTCCAACTCCAGTTCTAGGGGCTCTGACATTTTCCTTTGGCCTCTACAAGTAGCAGGCACACCTGGAGTGCACATTCATGCATGCAGACAAACACTGATATACACAGAAATATAAAAATAGGGTCTGGAAGACAGACATGATGGCACACACTTTTAATCCCAGCACTCAGGAGGCAGAGGCAGACAGATCTCTGAGTTCAAGGCCAGCCTGATCTACAGAGTGAGTTCCAGGACAGCCAGGGCTACAGAGAGACCCTGTCTGGAAAAAACAAACAAACAAACAAACAAACAAACACACAAGGTGGTGTGGTGGGGTTTACAGGTGAGATACTCCAGGTAAGAAACTGGCTGCTCTTCCAAAGAACCTCGGTTCAGTTCCAAACACACACATGGCAGGACACACCCATCGCTAACTCCTGTCCCAAGGGACCCGGCACCCTCTTATGATCTCCACAGGCACTGCACACATTTGGTACATAGACTTACATGTAGGCAAAAACACTCATACAAAAATAACAATATACCTTCAAAAGATAAATACGGACCTACAAAGTTCACCTCATATCTAAGAACACTTGTTGCTCTTGAAGAGGACCCTGGTACAATTCCCAGAATCCACATGGTAGCTCACAGATGTCTGTAAGTCTAACTTCAGGGGATCCAACAGACTTCTGGCCAGCGCTAGACAAGAAGTATGCAATGTGGTACACAGACATACAGGTAAGAAGAATGCTCACACAGAGAAAACAGCAGTAAAAAGTTAATAATACAATACAACCTTAAAAAGAGAGAAATTAATCTCATCACATGTGGATAAATTTAGCTTTTTTCAAAAGCTAAAAAATTTTAAATGAGCAAACGGGACCTGGAGAGACAGCTCAGTGGTTAAGAGAATGCTGTTCCTGTAGAAGACTCAAGCTTGGTTCCCAGCACATACTGAGTGGCTCACAATTATCTGTAACTAGTTCCAGAGAGATCCAAGGACTCTGGCCTCTTTGGGGATTACACTCACAGGAATATAGCCCCATACAAATAAACACAAAATTAAAATAGAACAATTTTTTTCATTTCAAAAAAGCCTGGTATAGCCAGGCAGTGGTGGCGCACACCTTTAAGCCTAGCACTTGGGAGGCAGAGGCAGGTAGATTTCTGAGTTCGAGGCCAGCCTGGACTACAGAGTGAGCTCCAGGACAGGCAGGGCTACACAGATAAACCCTGTCTCAAAAAAACCAAAAAAAAAAAAAAAAAGCCTGGTGTAATAATATTGAGCGCTTTTATACCATCATTAAGGAGGCAGAAGCAGGCAGATCTCTGAGACTGCAAGGCCAGCCTGGTCAACTGAGAAGTTCTAGGCCAGCCAGCCAAAGCTACATAGTAAAAACAGGTAAAAAACAAAAACAAACAAACAAAAAAAAAACACATAAAAAAAAAACAAAAAAAAGGGGAGGGGACAGAATATGAGAATATTATCTCATCAGTGGTATAGTATGGCTTTAGCAAGCTTGAGAGCCTAGGTTCACTACCCAGTACCAAAAAATGAATAAGAAAAAAAGAGAGAAATAAGTTTATAGATCAAAGTTATAACATGAGTGAAATGTGGTTATGTTCTATACATCAAAATGACTACAAGAGTGAGATACTTGGGCTGGAGAGATGGTTCAGCGGTTAAGAGCACCGACTGGTTTTCCAGAGGTCCTAAGTTCAATTCCCAGCAACCACATGGTGGCTCACAACCATCTGTAATGGGATCTGATGCCCTCTTCTGGTATGTCTGAAGAGAGCAATGGTGTACTCATACACATAAATAAATCTTAAAAGAAAAAAGAGTGAATACTTGCACAAAGCATGTGCATGCCCCAAATATAGGATGACCAATACCAGACCGAGTGGGCAAAACAAAGGCCTACAGAGGGTATAATAGCAACAATAACCTCAAAAATGCAGAGGCATTGTGTAAATGCTCTCATCAGAAAGGAAAAGCTGATAGGAAAACAGCCTTGATCAAGTACAAGTAAACTGATCTGAACGTCACTGTTAAAAAACAGGAGGGAGAGAGGGAGAGAGGGGGAGACAGAGACAGAAACAGGAGGGAGAGAGGGAGAGAGAGACAGATAGATAGAGACAGAGGGAGAGAGAGAGAGAGAGAGAGACAGACAGACAAGAGACAGAGAGGGGAGGATTCAGTCACTATCCTGGTTAGTTTTGTCAACTTGAAATAAGCTAATAAGCAACATAACTGAAAACGTGCCACCATGAGGCAGCCTGAAGACAAATATGTAAGACATTCACATGATTCATGTCTGGTGGGGACCTGGTGCTGGGGTGCTGGGGAGGGTGCTACCCCTGGGCAGGGGGTTCTGGGTGAAAGAAAGCAGGCTGAGCAAGCCATGGGAGCAAGCCAATAAGCAGCACTCCTACATGGCTTCTATCTCAGTTCCTGCTCCAGGTTCCTGCCCTAAGCTTGGGTCCTGATTTCCCCACATCTTATCAAGGACTAGGGGTTGTAAAGTGAAGGAAAATCTTTCCTCCTAAATTGCTTTTGGTCATGGTGTTTTATCACAGCAACAGAAAACTAAGCCAGGCACTGTTACTCATTTTTTTAAATGACTAACATCCTAAAAAATCCAAACTGTTAGTGGTGTAAAAGTCACCTCTATTCCTAACCAACTGCTACACTGAACTCAGACCAATAAGCTAAAAGACTTGACTGCAAAAGGCTGAAGAAAGCATGCAAGACGGCTCGGGAGAAAAGACATGCCTTGCGCCTTGAGTTTGATTCTCAGAACCTAAGTAAAGGTAGGAGGAGATTGCAGAGTCCACAAAATTGTCCTCCGTACAATTTTTTTTTAAGGCAGAGGAAGAACTAGGGAGAAGGGGGTAGCTGAGTTCAAATGATAGATGGGCACTTATCTCTAAACCCAAAAAGCCAGAGACACTGTCTGGTTCCCTCCTATTTGCTTCTGTCCTCCATCTTCCCACAGCCTCTCACAAGCAAAGCGGCTCCCCACCACGCAAAGGCCTCATCCTCCTCTTACCTTAATTGCTATGTTGTTGGACTCAGTAGCTCCACTTGTAAAAATGATCTCCCGAGGATCAGCTCCAATCAGAGATGCTACTTGCTGTATGCCAAGAGACAAAGATACAGCACATCAATCCCTGGGAAACAATGGGGCTATAGGTACAGCCTGGACAGAGTTTTGGACCAAGAGAAGATCCACTGCATCCTACCAACCAACCGCCTACGAAGAAACTATGTGCCTACCAGGTATAACTTTTTAGCCTGACTAGTGATAAAAAGGAATTAATTGTCACAGCTCAGATATTCTATCCTTTCTCTATTCTAAGACGGGCTAAGATGTCAAATGTAAGCTAGGTACAGTGACATACACCTTGAATCCAGCACTTAAGAGTTCGAGGCCAGCCTGGCATACAAAATGAATTCCAGGACAGTCAGGGTTACACAGAGAAATGTTGTCTCAAACAACAAAACAAAACAAATGTCCAATGTAGCTCAGTTGGTAGAGTGCTTACCTAATATTTATGAAGCTCTGGGTTTGATTTCCAGCTCTGCACAAACCAGATACAATGGTGCACACCTGGAATCAACAGCACTCAGGAGGCTAAGGTAAGACAGCTGCCATGAGGCCAGTCTGGGATACATAGTGAGTTCCAAGCCATCTTAGATGAAAGTGCAAAGCTGGCCTCAATCAACCAGAATAAGCCCAGTGACATGGATCAGTATGTAAAGGCACTTGTAGCAAAACCTGACGACCTAGGATTCATTCCCTGAAACCCACATGGTAGAAGGACAGAGACTGCTCCAAGGTGTCCTGTGACTTCCACACTGAATACTAAGGTACATATGTGTACACATACATGAACACACACAAACACACACACATGCGTGCACTCACACACGCTTGTAATTTTTAAAAATTATTTTTGCTGGGATAGTGGTGAACATCATTCATCCCAGAACTTAAGATGGAGAGGCAGGAGGATCTCTGTTATTCAAGGCCAGCCTGGTCTACAAGGCAAATTCCAGGACAGCCAGAGCTATTATACAGAGAAACCCTATCTCAAACAAACCAACAGGCAAGTAAGGAACTGAAAAGATGGCTCTGTGGTTAAGAGCACTTGCTGTTCTTGCAGAGGACCCAGGTTCAGTTCCTAGTACCCACATGGTAGCTCACAACCATCCTTAACTTCCAGTTCCAATAACAGAAAAATAGCCAATGGCTGAGCATGGGGCAGGACACTGAGAGCTGTGCAGGCAGGAGAGAGTCAGGGGGACAAGGAGAGAGGAGGAGACTCAGTAACACAGGAGATAAAGCCAACCGATGGGTAAGTGACTCTGGCCTCTTCCCTGAGTGGGCCTAGGGTAGCAGAAGATCAGGAGTCCCCAGTCACTGAGTTAGCCAAGGCATTTTAAGAATAACTGTTGTGTGTGTGTTTCCCATCCGAGGATCTGAGAAAGCTCCCGGGAGGGTGTGAGCGTGGAGCCAGCCAGGAACATAAAGTGGTATAGATAGACAAAACTACAAACAACATGTGAATTTTGGGGATCAAACTCAAGTCATTATGTTAAGGTACCCCTGGATGCATCCCATTGACCCAAGAAATGCATTTTTAAATGTATTTATTGAACTCTTACTTACTACTTATGTCAACCTGTACCAGCACTGACTTGTTGAATTCATCTTACACAGCATCAACTATTTCACTGTCCGCTTGGAGATGATGAGCTTAAGGCTCAGAGAAATGAGAAGATCTGTCAGAGGTATTTTGCAGAGGGAATATGGGAACTAATTAAGCACCTACAATCAAAAACGCCAGAGCTACTATCTGAGTCTCTTCAGAAAAACAGCTATTTCCACCTCTAAGAAAGAAATGTCTCCTACAGACCATTGAATGGAACATCCCAGAGTCCTTTGTGCTAACCTGGCGAGCATGTTCCATGGCTGCCTCACTCTCCCAGCCGTATGCGTGAGTCCGAGAATGTGGGTTCCCATAGTAGTTGACAAGGTATGGGAGCATAGCATCGAGCACCCTAGGATCCTGAACAGAAGAACACGGATCAGTGGCTCTGAGATCAAAGTCAATTCAGAACCTGCTCCATCCACCGATACCTGCCCACTTTGCTCAGTGTATTTCCAGCCTTTCAGATGCTGGCTGCTTTCTTCCACTTCCTCAACTACTAAACAAATGCAACTTGAAATACACCCACTTCAAAACCACCTCTAATCACAATGTTCCGCCATTCCCGCAAGTAGTTTGTAAGCATTGTCTTTGATTTTTCTGTTATTTATTGAAAGATAAGGTCTTATGAAGTTAAATCTGTCCTCAGATTTATAAGCCTGTTGGGTATGGTGGCATACACTTTTAATAGCAGCATACTGGAGACAGATGTGGGCACATCTCAGAGTTGGAGGCCTGGTCTACAGTGGTTGTTCCAGGACAGACAGGGTCACAGGTATTGAGACTGGGTCTTAAAACACCCCACACTGCACCCAAAAAGTAAACCAACAAATAACCCTCCTGCCGGCAAGATTATCTTGTCCTTTTCTTATTTTTTAAAGACAGGGTTCTCTACTTTAAGATATCCTCAAACTTACTATTAATGAAGAGATCTTAAACTTCTGATCCCAATCCCCCTGCCTCTACCTCCCTAATTCTTTAGAGTCATGTGGGATTAGAGTTGTATAGCACCATTCCTGGCTTTATGCTGTGCTAGGGGATCCAACCAAAGACTTTGCAAATGCGGGACAAGTGCTCAACCATCTGTATCTGCATCCCTCACAGTCCTGTTCTTACACCTGTTCTTAAAGGGCTTCCACGGCTGCCGCACACTGATTTACACTGATCTAGAAAAAAAAAAAAAAAGATTCTGACCTCCCTGCCTCCATCAAGTATTGGGATTACCGGAGTTCACTTTTATGTGGTGCTGGGAATTGAACTCAAGGCTTCCTACATGCCAAGCAAGTACTATTTGAGCCATATATCCAGCCCCAATAACTGTGATTATTGAATGTTTATCAAATGCAGGACTTCTACGTCTTTCAGCTCATTTAACACTTTACCAAAGTCACATAGTTACTACATGTTAGTCCTAGTAATTCCAAAGCCCATGTGTTTGCTTGCTCTTGGCCTTTTTTGTTTGTTTGTTTGTTTTGTTTTTCGAAACAGGGTTTCTCTTTATAGCCCTGGCTGTCCTGGAACTCACTCTGTAGACCAGGCTGTCCTCGAACTCAGAAATCCGCCTGTCTCTGCCTCCCAAGTGCTGGGGTTAAATGTGTGAGCCACCACTGCCCGGCCATTTTTTTTTTAACGTATGTTTGAGGGGACTGGGAGATGGCTTAGCAGTTAAAGAGCTCTCCCAGAGGTCCTGAGTTCAATTCCCAGCAACTACATGTGGCTCACAACCATTTGTAATGGGATCCAGTGCCTTCTTCTGGTATGTCTGAAAGCAGCTACAGTGTACTCATATACATAAAATTAAAAACAAAACAACAGGGGCTGGAGAGATGGCTCAGTGGTTAAGAGCACTGACTGCACTTCCAGAGGTCCTGAGTTCAAATCCCAGCAACCACATGGTGGCTCACAACCATCTGTAATGAGATCTGATGCCCTCTTCTGGTGTGTCTGAAGACAGCTACAGTGTATTCATATATAATAAATAAATAAATCTTTAAAAACAAAACAACAACATAGGTTTGAAACTCCCTATGTGGCTCAGGCTGGTCTTAAGCTTACTGAAACTCTCCATGTCACAATGTTCAGCTCCAGGACCTGAGCATTTACTATTAATTATAATGCCTGTACTGGAAGGATCTGACAAGGTCAGTAACTAAAAAACAGTAAAGCCTTTTCAACTAAATTAACATCCAAGTCTCCTAATTCCTGTCCTCCGTTTACTAGTACATTTAATGGTTCTCAAATCTGCAGAAATTTAGCCTTCTGGTGAAATTTGTCCTTCTAACCTTTCCTCCCTATGAAGGACCCCTGTTAGTCCTTACCAGAGGAGTTGTAGCCTGCACGTCCATATAGAGAGGTCGCAGCACTGCCTCTGCCTCGGAGGGAACAGCCGAATGGGGGGCATGATCTACAACTGACAACAGAGTGCAGTGGCAAAGTGAGAAACCGTGGACGAAGGGCACACAAGACAACAGATGGCCAAAGCTTCTTCGAGGTAAGTTTAAGAAAGGCTGAGGTCCAGTGTCAAAGTAAACAACACGCACTAAAAGACATTGAGTTAAGTAAAAGACATAGGGTTCTCGGGAGGGGCGCTGACAGCAGTAGGGAGCAATGTTCAAACTACATAGTACCGAGTGGGATGAGCTGTAAAAGGAAAACCATTTAGAAGAAAAGTGAAAAGCGCAGGTTCCTTCAAAGGTTCACGGATGGAGGAGGCTCCGACGAGCATCTTTAAGACTTGGCCAGGAGAGATCTGAAGAATGAGACTTCGGCCCAAGAGAAGTGCGGAGCAGGATGTAAGGGTCATACTGAAACAGTAAGAGACCAGGCGACGGGAAGGTTTAGAGTCTGAGCGATCGAACACGGCGAGTAGGAAACGCAACAAAGCAGTGCTTAGCAGCACCGACCCAAGGGGTTCGCTCCTCCAGAAACCGAAGGAGCGAAAAGGAAAGGGAACGTACCGCGCAGGCGCAGTCCCCGGGTGGGCACCGAAGACCTTCGCAGGGCCACAGAGGTAGCCGCCAACGACGCCCGCCTCCAAGCGGCTCGCAGCAGCATGTTCCCAGCAACAGAGCCCACCATCTGCGGAGCTTGCAAGTCCTCAGCCCATGCTCCCGGAAGTAACTGCGCCGCGCTCCGGAAGCAATCCTGCGGGCCGCGAGCGCCCTCCGCCTAGCTTTCAGTGTGAGACGTCGAGCTGAGCGATCGCGGCGGAGAACGAGGTGAGGTGGGGCCCGACGATGCCCTGCGTCGCGCGTGCGGGGTCTTCTATCGCGAGGAGGGTGGTGGAGGCGTGCTGCGGGCTGGCTTCTGTCCTGGGTCCTATGTAACCCTGCTGTGCGCCCCTGGCCGACGCCATAGCTGGCGACCAGGCCCTCACTGTCCTAGCCCTCTCACCCCAGATGCCGGTGGCCGTGGGTCCCTACGGGCAGTCCCAGCCTAGCTGCTTCGACCGCGTGAAGATGGGCTTTGTCATGGGTTGCGCCGTGGGTATGGCGGCCGGGGCGCTGTTCGGCACCTTCTCCTGTCTCAGGTGAGCCGCGCGGACGGAACTTCCTGGCTTCCGAGGACTCCGGAGCCCACTTAGAAGAGGTTGAAAGCACAGTACTTAAGAATCTGAGCTCTAAAGTCAAAATGGCTTTCTGACTCCTTTGTAGTTCAGTTTCATTAGGCAGGTTAGAGGCTGAGTTTACTGTAGTGGAGGACTATACACTTACCTCCACTTTTGTAAGAGTTAATCATATTAGTATTATCTGGCACATCGTAATTGCTTAGCGAAGGGGTATTACTGGTGCATGACATTTTAACTACCAACTGCATGTAATGAAGCAAGCTTCATGAAGCGTTTTACTATTGAGAATTAGGTATAGTCACATGTTCGACCTTTGAGATAAACTGCTATTTTAAAGGTCATCACCCCATTTGGATATTGTACTTGTAAATAACTATTTCTCCAGCACTAGCTAATTGTAGTGCTAAGTACTGTAGTTAACCATCGAGCAATAGTGGTGAGCACCTAAAATCCAGACGGAGGGAGAGGTAGGAGGATCTATGAGACTAGCTTGGTATAGAAAGTGAGTTCCAAGACAACCAGGGCTATTACACAGAGAAACCATGTCTCAAAGAAATAAAATAAAAACGTATAGTTACCGAGATTGTAAATGTGATGATTTCCATTTTACACTTTATAGAGTTTATAAATTGCAGAGCTTAACTTTTAACCCAGGTTAAACAAAACGCTGAGGAGTCATCTAGAAGAAAAATGGCTACTGGATAATATATACCATAGAGGCACAAACATGACTGCTTTTCCTGCCCATGTACTCCATCCTTTATCTCTGCAATCTACAAACTAATTAATACAGCATTCAACACACAACCTAGAGACCCTAGATGGGTATTTTCCTTGTCATTGCTAATCCTTCATGGGGAAGAGTAGCATTTTAAGAATGACAAATGATGTATTTCAACAGATTATAAAGGGGGTAGTTAGTTCAATTCTCTATTCCTTTATTTGTATTCTCAGATGGCCCCTTCTTGCTTTCTTCCTCAGGATCGGAATGCGGGGTCGGGAGCTGATGGGCGGCATTGGGAAAACCATGATGCAGAGTGGCGGCACCTTTGGCACTTTCATGGCCATTGGAATGGGGATACGATGCTAATTAGGGCGCAGAAGCCCTGCTACACTTAAACTTCCCCATCCATTTCGACCCTTGTACAATAATAAAGTTTTTTTCTTCTCGTTATCAGTCTATTTTTACTCCAAACACCTAATGTTTTTCCCACAACTAGGTTTTGTAGTCTCAGTACCCACCTCAATGGTAATCCAACATTGTGTATTTCTACCTGCCTGTTCTCTGCAGAGACATAGTACACATAACAATAGATCTCAGATACCTAATACAGAATAGTACAACTGATACCTAAATCTCTACCCAGGCTTGTTGACACAATCACTCTCAAGATGGAGACACATCTTTAGAACCGCTCAAAAAATCTTGGCTCAGCATATCCGTTATAAAACCTAGCTAGCCGCCTTTTTTGTAACAGTTGTGTCCTGTTCACAGTAAAACATTGTATGAGATTGTCTAGTTCAGAAAGACATGTCAAACTCACCAGCCTAACACTTATGTAGGTTAATAACAAAATTCATACAGGATACCCATGTGATGGAAAGGAATCCTAATCAGATTACCCTTGGTTAATTTCTTCTGATTACTCTTCAACTATGACTTGTTCAGAACTTTATTAGACGATAGTGGACAATTCAAAATGATTTTATGAACATGTTATTAAAGAAACAAGTTTTTTTTTCCTGATATATCTAGGAGACAAGATGTGTTGGTTGGCAAGCTGTAGGCAGTGGTGGCGCACGCCTTTAATCCCAGCACTTGGCAAGAAGAGGCAGGCGGATTTCTGAGTTCCAGGCCAGCCTGGTCTACAGAGTGAGTTCCAGGACAGCCAGGGCTACACAGAGAAAGCCTATCTTGAAAAACAAAAAACCACTACAGAGCTAAAGAATGATAACCAAGCAGAGCAGAATGAGTGCATTTCCAAGGCACAACTTGTTTTCATCGATACCAAGGACATACTTGGTAGTGGTGGTAAACAACAAACACTAGACATGACTTAGGCTGGAAAAAATATTCCCTATTACTAAGAATAAAGTAAGCTTATTCTAGGCCTAGAGGGACATCTTCAGTCTTTGTAAATCCGACCTATATAATGCTGAGACACTAACTTGAAAGCAAGAAGAAAAAAACCAAGAAAAGATACCATGATAGTCTATGCCTGTCTTTGTAATATGAAAACATTTGAAAAACAAAGATTTTCTTGTGGCCATTTTCAGAGAATTTTATTTGAGTGGTTCTTACAAAGATTGTTGCAATATGAAAGTCATTTGTTTGATAGAAATATCAAGCTGTCTTGTCAAACACACTGAAGTAACCCAAAAATATATTTCAGAGCTCACAGAGCTTAAAAAGAGCAAAGATTATATGCAACCAGACAAAACCTATTTCTGCATTTCCTCTCTTGCTCAAGACTGCTTTACTCAATCGGTTACATCAACCACCCTGAGGAAATGCAGGATCATTTTGTTTGGAATCTCAAGATACACTAAAACACATAGTATTTACAAAGAAACTTTTACAGATACATTAATTTGAAAATTTTACCATCGAGAAATATTTTTAAATCCCCTTCTTGCCAAATAATCAAGGTCAAATGCTAAGCAGCCATTTAGCTGCTTAGACTTTTTTTCACACACTAAGTGTATTCCTTTGCTGAACCATGAGCCAAATACATGACTGTGAAATGTAACTGCTGTGTAAAAAGTTAGGTTTCTGAAACATTAAAACATTACCTGTCTGCCTTTATACAGAAAGCACATTTGTTCCCCTAGAGCTATTCTATAGATCCTTAATGTAATTTTCTACATGGACATTTAAAACAGCAGAACAAGAGAACAGCTTTGCATAAAGTAGGATTTGCTAGTTAGGGAGAATGAGCACACTGCATTCCTGTTAACATTTTTATTTTTCAAGATAACAGGAGTTGTATACAAATGACAGTAGACCCTTGCCTCTTTATTTTTATCTAAATAAAAGATAACTCAAGATGAATTCTCAAGAGAAAAAAAAGCTATATACATAAGGGACTGTATCTTCCTTCATCGTCTGCTTGGAACCAGTAGTTGTGTTGCTGTCATAGAATCAGGAAAGAGGTTGTGGTAAGTTGGAAGAGGTACATACGCTGCTGTTATCATTTTACCTGTTGACAAAGAGAAAAAAGTTGGGTAAGTTGTTTTATGTTAATAAATTGACTTCTCAACATAAAGTCTTCATAGCAGTTACTCACCAGCAAACCACCTGCCGTGCAATGCATTGACAGCAGCAATAGCTGCAGCAATAGATGGGCACTTCACATACACATTGCCCTAAAAGTATCAAAAGAAAAAAATTAATCATTAAAAAAAAAATTGAACATATACTCTCAAAGTATATCAAACATCCTTTGCATAAACGTGCTTTATAGTTTATTGATTCTAATAGCTTCATGGTCAATACCTTGAATGTTTTTAAAAACTATTGTATCTTTTCCTTTTCTCATTGATCTTTTTGCCCAATACCCATTCCCCTGATATCTATGCAAAGACTAAAGAAGTTGCAAAGAATTCCAGGCTACATGATGCAGATTAGCTAATCAATTAATCACTAATCTCATCAAATTTTCAACATTTTGACTCTGCATTTGTTTTGAAGCATGCATTTAGCTAGTACATTTAACTTCCTTTCCTGAAATAACCACTGAGCTAGCACAGTGCTACAGGCCTATAATAAATCCCAGAGCACGGGAAGGGAGTCAGAAAAGAGCTAACTTCATTAAAGCACTACACAAATCAATGCATTAAAAGAAAAAAAAAAGACTGCAATAGTGACTTGTGTCCAGCACAAAAGAGGCAGACATGTAGGTCGATCTTGCGGTTAACTTAGTCGACAGAGATTCAGGACAGGCAGGACTACACACAGATACCCTGCCCGAAAAGAAAAACCAAAACCAAGCCAAACAAAAGGAAATAACACCTAAGGGGAATAAAGTGACAATCATATGCCCTAATTGTATATAAAAAGTAAGATAGAGAATACTATCCACTTTAATCCCAGCACTTGGGGAAGCATAAGCAGGCAGATCTGTAGGATAGGCCAGCCTAGTATTTATTACACAAATAAACCCTGTCCTGAAAAACAGAAATCAAATTACCTGAGCTGAATTTTTGTCAACATAAATATGAATGACTCCTCCATGTTTATTACATTCTTCAATGACATCATCTTTAATCTCTGTATCCCATCCAACTTCTTCTTCTCTGTAAGAAAAAAATACTGAAATTATATTCAAGTAATGATTAAGTACATTTTGTGCGTGCATGCGTGCGTGCACGCATGCGTGTGTAGAGACCATGGAACATGGAGTCCATTTCAGCATCCACGTAAGTACCAGGGATCCAATTCTAGTCTTTAGACTTGGCAGCAAGCACCTTTCTTTATTCACAGTGAATCAAATTTTCTGCCTTCGACTATGTAGTAAAACTCTCCTTCTAAAACACAGCAATTTGACTGTACTAGCTAACCAACAATCTTGCTCCCTGTATACGCCTATTTGTATCAAACTTCCAAGGTGTCATTCATGTTAATGTGACAAGCACTGGACATGCTCAGCTATCCATCCACACTTAAAACATATTCTTCAAGATGTTAATTGTTGTAATACATAAAAAGAGATGAAGAGGCTCCATTAAAGTTCTAAGTTTTTACTGCCAAATTTACTGTAAACTCTGTGGAGTTCACTCAGCCAGCAGTTAAGAGCAGTTGTGGCTCTTGCAGAGGACTTAGGTCACACAGCTACAGTAATTCCAATTCTATAAAAATTTTTAACACTTCTGTTCCTTCAGATACAGGTAAGCATGTGGCATATATACACGCAGGCAAATCCTGATATACATAACAAACAAAAATTTTAAAACCCTAACAAGCCAAAAGATGTGGCTGCTATACAGTTATAATACTAACCATAATTCTACATAAAGCAACCAGCTAAATCCTTTTACAATCATCGAGAAGAGGCAGATGGAAGGTCTATTTGATCAGCAGGGCATCCAAAGTAAAAAAAAAAACAGTAAGTACATGTAAAAACAAGATGTCCTAGCTAGAGAAAAATAGTCTCAAAACAACACGAAAGAAAATTAAACAAGCACTTGGGAGGCAGAGGCAGGCGTATTTCTGAGTTTGAGGCCAGCTTGATCTACCGAGTGAGTTCCAGGACAGCCAGGGCTACATAGAGAAACCCTGTCTCGAAAAAAAAAAACCCAAAAAGAAAATTAAACAAGAACAAAACAAATTAGAAGGTGAAACAAACAAGCAAACAAACAAAACAAAAAACCAAATTTTGAATACATTTAGAAAAATATTTTAATTACTAGTATCATACATTAGTAAAAAGAGGTAGACTAAAAGCAGACACAAGTATCATAGGTTAAAAGCTAGCATGGACTATAGTATTACTAACTGATCAAAAGGCCAGCTCTGACAACTGAAAAACCCTGACAGAATTTAAAAAAAAAAAAAAAAGAACTGGTCATCTTCATCAGTGGCGTAACTGCCTGCCATGCAGCCCCCAGATCCCTTGTTTTTAATTCTACGACAGAAAAATTTCTAGTAGTATTTACTGGCTAAGAGGACACTGTACTTGTTTGTTATCCTTACAGAGTACCATCTTGAGTTCCCAGAACATCACAACAATCCTGATGCCCATTCTGACCTCCCTGATCACACATAAGACACAAACACACGTGTATGCACACATACAAGCAACAATCTCATACATAGTTTAATCAAACTAACCAAAAATAACAAGTAAACAAGCATAGGCAAAAGACTGGTGAGAGAAATTTCACAACTACATGTTAAATTTCAATGTGCCCAATAAAATATAAACGGGAATAAAAAATAAAAGTCTAACATATCACTTACGTTTGAGGATTAAACATGTTGGAAAGTTGGAAACACTGTGTTGCAAGTGGTTGAACAGATGCAGCTGCAGCTAAAGCTGAGGCTAAAAAAGGGAAAATAAAAATTAGCTTCAAGGAAAATGTGTAAGTATCCCTGGACAATAAACTAAAAATAAACCCTATCTATATATGGCTGACATAATTTATATATTGTCTATATGAGTATGAAATAAGAGTTACACACTTTACCAAAATACAACAGTTAAGCTAAGCAAAACTACTTTAAAACATCTTTAGTTTCACTTATAATAGGCAACACAAAGTAGAAATACTCAAGTATTATTTTGAGGGGAAAAGTGCTAATATATTTCATTCAGATGCAAATATATTTCCCTAAAAATTTCAGGAGCTGTGGTTTGGGAATTAATTGTCACGAGTATTTGTCTAGCAAGCATGAAGCTCTGGGCTTGATATCAAACAGAGCATAAACTCTTATGCACTTATACTCTTAAGCATTAGAAAGATAGATCGTGAGGAATATAAGTCATCTAGGCCAACAAAGTTTCATCTCCGACGAAAATCATACTTAAAAATGGGCACAATGGCACATGGCTTTAATCCCAGCCTTTGGGAGGTAGAGGTAGAAAGATCTTAGAATTCTTATGTCAGCTTGGGCTACAAAGCAAGTTCTAAGACAGCTAAGACTACATGGAGAGACAATATTCTTAAACCAAAACCAAAACCAGGAGTGATTAATGAGACAGATGTAGTCTAAATCTATTAAAAACAAGCAACAAAAATCCTGCACACAAATCATTTCAGAAAGAAAAATGGAAAATGAACGGTTGCATCCGGAAATGATTGCAGTAATACAAAATTGGGTTGTTGGAAAGCCTAAATAGACATTCTTTTATTTCTCTTCCTTTTGCCAGGAATATAGTCTTGTTTTTAAAAGATATATAAAAACACACATGTATTAGATTTGTATATAAGTACTCTGAACAACTTGGTCCATCTTTTCAGCAGCCAAATATTTATTTTCAATCTTAATCTTATGTTTATGAGATTTTGCCTGCATACCTGTGGAACACAGGTACCTGTTTCCCTCAGGGGCCAGAAACCCTGAAATTTGTTAAATACTATTATTGTAAGCTATGATGTGGTTGCTGAGAATCTAATTTTGGTCATCAAGTAAAAGTCTAAAGTGCTTTAAACCAAAGACCACTCTCTCTGGTCCAACTTTTAAATACATCAACCTAAATATAACTAACATTTCAAAGACCGTGTAAAGTATCACAGAAAAATGTCATAATACTGCAACACTGTAAATGATTTGTAGGAGCAAAATAGAAAACCAGAAACAGGCAGCTTATCTATGATTTGACTATCGTAATGTGAAAATTCTGAATACAGTAATATTCAACCTTAAAATAAATGTCTATAGTGAACTAAGCACTTTCCAAGTGAGGTTTCTATTTGGTGTTTAGGTTTGGTTTTTCTCTTCTTGAGACAGGGTCTTATGTCACTCCAATTTTCAGAGAATTACCAAAGGTATTAGAGCAGCTGTTATAGAACTCACCGTAATCATATTATCTGACCAAATCCCATTCCAATGCATAACAACAAACAGCTAAGGATAAAATAATGCATTAAGAAATCGAGATGAATTGAAATGAATAACCACCTAAGGAAGTATCAGATAAATTTCACTGAACAAAGCTATTCATGAAATACCACATTAAAAATTATTCTGATAGAATTACAAAAGTGTCGTTCCTTCAATATTTCCTTCAAAGTTAAAGGCATTTTTCTTTGAAAAATTTGAGAAGCCTTCTCCTTGAATTCCCTCCTATAAGAACAAATATAACCTGACACAATCTAAGACCTAGTAAGTTCCAGGTAGCTACCTAAATATAAGGTAGAACTGCTTAAAAAAGCACAAAAGTATACCCGAGCAACAAACCAAAAACATCAAACCAATTTATAACTAAAGATGGTCAGTGATAGGAGCCAGAGTAAAGCAGATCTGAGTTACAGACTAGCTATACGTAACAGCCAAAAGCTACACAGTAAGACCCTGTTTCAAAACAAAAACATACACAAGGATACAGAGCTAAAAAGTTTTCAGGAAACTGAGGGGAACTACTGACTGATTATGAGAACTAAAGACCAAATACGTAATGAAATCTTTTACTTTGACTTTTGATAAAACTGTTAGTCATTTATAAACAGCAGTACAAATGTGGCATATGCTTAAAGAAACTTAAAATACATTTAAAATTCTCACCAAAAATTGCCATTTTTCACACAGGATTTTTGATATAAAAAAAGAGAGAGAAACCAATAAACAGTTTACTGTAAACCTGGCAGCGTACTGAAGTAGTAAAATGCTTTTTATCTTTCATGGTAGATTTCAGAGAGACATGAAATCATGACCTAATGCATTTCATGATGATGTAGTTAGAACAATTCATACCCCTATTCTTAGCTTCATAAAATAGCCAAGTCCTAATGATTCATTAAAACATTGTCAAAAAATGTAATATATATATATTAAATCTAAACTGAAAGAAATATAAAAAAAAAGTAAAACGACTTGCTCATGTATTTCATGTACATGAATGCACTGTCTTCATGTATATCAGAAGAGGGCATACATAAGTTCCCACTGCAACTCCTTCTGAGACACCATGTGGATGCTGGGAGTGGCAATGAGGCCCCTCTGGAAGAGCAGTGGGTACTATTCCATCTCTCCTGCCCTTAAACTTAAAAAATAGTCCCACATTGTCATGGTATGCTAAAAACAATTTGTTTTTTATACAAACCTTACAGCTTAGATAAAAGTGTAAAGAAAGACTGAGTTCTGGACCTTGTTTTTCAAGTGTAAAAGATGGCATGTTAAAGCCAGCCCTTTACAAGGAATCAAATAAATAAATTCCACAATCCACAACAAACATAACCATAGACATCTTTATATTCTCTGACTATTAATGTACTATGGTTACAATACATGGCAAAACTATATGAATATGATACTTATCAAATTATATCTTTGTATTATTAAATTATATTTCAAAAAAAAAAAGATCAAAATGTAAGTAACTCACCTTCGGTCTGTTGGGAAAGTCGTGTTTGCAAATCTATAACAAAAGAGAATTCTACAGCTCAGTGCAGGAACAATGAAGAGCCTCAACTAACAGGGTAAATGTCAGGAAAGTATTAATAAAAGAGGACTTCAACAGCAGGGTTCGTTTAAATCAAATTAGTAACACCTGGCAGCAAAACCTCCTTCCCCATTCCTCATTTACAAGGATTTTGGACCTTTTGTTTTCTCTTATGCTAGAAAATTATCACTGTATTCCTAATACATTCCTCCCTATGCTATATGATGTTCCATTACAATACCACAGCTAGGAATAATGGGAAATGGGGAAAAAGGAGCAAACCAGTCAGAAAATACGTGAAAAACCCTGATTGAGAATTCAATTCCAAGTACTTGGGAAATAAAATTTTATAAATTATTATTATTATTATTTTTTTTTTTTTGGTTTTTCAAGACAGGGTTTCTCTGTGTACCCCTGGTTGTCCTGGACCTCACTCTGTAGACCAGGCTGGCCTCAAACTCAGAAATCCGCCTGCCTCTGCCTCCCAAGTGCTGGGATTAAAGGCGTGCGTCACCACCACCCGGCAAAATTTTATAATTTAATGGCAATAAAAATTCAGTATTTCAGAATCTTGTATTAAAACTGTAGGCATTACAACCACACACATTCAAGAGCTAGCAAGGATCATGTTCATTAATTTCCAAGTTTAGCATTATCCACTGAGAAAGACATAATTCCAACAATTTGGAACATATCTTTGTAAGAGCTTCTCAGATTCAACTTGCCAATGATTTCTCTAACAGGTCCATAATTTGATCAATGTTAATTTTCTCACCTACTATAAAAATTCATGTTTCTATACAGAAGCATGTCAAAATCCCAATCAGACAAGTATAAAAAATTTGCATGAGCTGGGAAAAAAATTCAAGCACAAAATAGATGTGGTCCAAGTCTTTTTAACCCTAGCAGTAGCGAGGCTGAGACAGGAAATATTTCTTCATTGAGACCAGTCTGCCTGATCTATGTGGGGAATTTCAGAACAGCCAGGGATAAATCATAGTGAGACCTTGTCTCAAACCAACAAAACCCAAAATCCCGTATTGCTGCAAAGTGATCATAATTAATAAAGATTCAATTTGGGACATGAATAAGGAAATCTAAACCATGTATTTAATTTACTGGGTTAAAACAGTTGGGCCCTCAGGGGATAAAAAATGACTTATCAGTGTATGCTAAATAGAACTAATACCAATAACTTAAAAATACAGTGTCTTTTTCACATAATAGGTAAGTTGTATACATATTTATGCTATTAAGTACAAATTCCAATTTTACTTTTAAAAATAACTGTGGTTACTTCCAATATATATTAAGAAACAAGGAACAAATTGTATTCTACGTTAAGGTGTATTAGAAAATTTGCTTTATCTGAGGGTGTTGGAGCACTGCACAAATCCTAGCACTCAGGAAAGGCAGAATTAAGCTCATGTTAATTCAATGCCAGAGTCAGCTGCAGAAGGTACAAGGTCATCTTACATATACACAACTACCTAAAAAAAGACAGCAAATGGGAAGTCCATGAGACAGAGGTTGAGGGAAGAGGCTTGCTCTGAGTTAGTAAATACAGAACAAATTAGGGATGAATAGGGATACCCAGTAACATCCTAGCTCAGTAATGAGACTCTGGATATAAGGTTAGTACATAAGTAAACAGACAGGCTGCCATTAGACATATGGTACATATTCTACATATGAAAGAAGGATACATCAACACAATGCACATTAGCCTCTGACCTCCTCACATGGTTAGAAGCATAAGTAAGTACCTCCTATCAAAATAATTAAATGCATTTAAAACAGTTATCTTCAGCCGGGCGGTGGTGGCGCACGCCTTTAATCCCAGCACTTGGGAGGCAGAGGCAGGCGGATTTCTGAGTTCGAGAGTTTGAGGCTAGCCTGGTCTACAGAGTGAGTTCCAGGACAGCCAGGGCTACTCAGAGAAACCCTGTCTCGAAAAACCAAAAAAAAAAAAAAAAAAAAGAAACAGTTATCTTCACTGAAAGAGAACAAAGCCTAGGACCCCTGCAAGTGCAGCCAGTGCTCTCTCCCCATGAGCCATCATTTACAGCTCCTACATGAGAAACTTTAAGGATGGTGGCATTATGAACGGGTTAGGATTTGCTCTAACGGAATGAATATCTAATTTTTTTAAACATGAAATCTTGACCTTGAATGAAGAGAAGCAGCAAGTTAAATAATCACTTATTTTTCCGGAAGATGTTTCTCTACATAGCTCGGGATACTCTGGAGCTAAGTAGACGAGGCTGGCTACCTCCTAAGCCCTAAACCCCAAGTACTGGCATTAAAGGTGTGTGCTTCTACACTTGGCCCATTATTATTATTACTATGTTTTTATTGTTTTTCAAAAGAGGGTTTTCCTGTGTCTTCCTGACTGTCCTGTAACTTATTCTGTAGCTAATACTTGGCCGAAAATTCAGAGATCATCCTGTCTGCCTCTGAAATGCTGGTAGTAAAAGTGTGCACTAAAAGTGTCTGTAGCATTACTTTTCTTAAGTAATTATTTTTATCTTATCTTTATTAGTGTGCATATATGAGTGCAAGCAATATGTCGTTGTCTGCAGATGGCATTAGAGGGTATGAGAGTCCCTTCAATTAGAGCAACAGGTAATTGAGCTAATCCTTGTGCCTGGGACTCACTGAACTGAAATCCTCTAGAAACAACCACACCAAGCTGGCTATATCATCTCAGATTACTTCTGATTACAGATTATTTCTGAAATAAGTTCACTTCAATTAAAAAAGCAGAATGCTGTGACTATAGATTTGATGTTTAAAAAAAAAAACAATTGTAATCGCTAATGTTTCCAAAATTGACAGGCAAAAACAAAGGTAACAGATTCTTGTGTTGTGCTTAAGACATGTTACTTGCAAAAACGTCTTAATGCTTACTTTTCCCACCATCTCATCATTTATGTTGGCACCGTTCTCAGAACATATGCTTTAAATATGCTTTACCAAGCACACAGGTCTCTTTGTACATTCAAACTATTAACAATCTAAAATCTCACAAGGTCTCACTTTTGAGAAAGTTTAGAACACAAATGGCCACACTTAGAACTTCTGGACATTTGTGGCACAACACATAAAAGTTTAAAAACAGGGTCTCATTCTGTAGACCATCATGTTAATGCTCCCCCATCCTCCCAAATTTGGTATTACAGGGTCCTCACCATATCAGGCTAAAAAGTATCCTTTATATATTATCTATAGCTCTAATTATGACATGCATATCAAATCAAATACAACTTTAGCTCACAGGTTTAGGGCAATTTGTGTTAATTTAAGACATTTATCTGTTTATATAGCTGTGTTACTGTGTGTACCTGTGGCCTGCAGAGGTTAGACAAAGACATAGATGTGCCAATACTGGAGTTCTAAGCACACAAATGCTAGGAACAGAACTGGGCTAAATTACAGCTTTTCTCTAAGTTGCTTCTGTCAAGGTATTATAATATACAAATATGGAAAACAAAAAGAGTAACTAGTTTTCTTTGTATAATGGGAATGCAGATGTTTAAGCAAAACTAAATTTTACCAAATGCTTGGTGTTTTTTCTAACTATTAATAGTAATTTAACTACACTTGAGATTTTTCTATACTCTGAGTTCTCTGGATAGTCATATACCTATTCTTCTTTGGAATCATTAAGATGCTAGAAGTACTTAATGAATTGAATTCTCAGTTAGTCCTTTGAAATGCAAAAAAATTTGGCATATTTTTCGAATTAGATGAAAATACAATGACTTCAAATCAGAAAGGATTCAATTCCTACCTGCCACAGCACCAAATGCCAAAGAGCCACTCATTTGTAAAGCTTGTTGTGCTGCTGGTGGAATCTGCAAACCGGTACCTGTAAAATAATAAATTTCCCAGTTATTACTATGTTAACAGCAGAAAGAAACCAAATTCTGGTCATTCATGTGGTCAACTCGAGGTGCCTGTAAAATGGCTCTGCACTAATAGACCTTCCTACAAGGATGAGAAACCGTATTCTTTAATACTGATGTACAGTAGAAGAATAAAACGTATTTCCCTCTAGTGGCACTCTGACCTCCCCAACCCATGCTGTGCCATCAGTATACCATCAAAACTAATTGTAAAAGCCAAGGAAAACTGTAGGAGGAGCTAAGGTAGGAAAAGTAAGGAGAGGAAGAGCTGGGGAGAGCAGAGAATGAAGATGGAGGATGAAGAGCCAAGCAGGTATGGAGAGCAGTCCTGAGTAACGATTTGTACTTAGGTTAGCTAATTGGGATACACCTCTAATTATGTCAGCACACTGTTATTGAGCATTATCAAACATATAAAGCCTTTGATTAACATTTAAGCTTTAGAGTTTCACTCGCTACCCGTCCTGCGAGGATGGCGGGATGGTCTAGGAATTGCCCAGCTTTTTGGAGACAGTGTAGAAGATTGGCAGAGCCATCTCCCACACTGGCGTCTCATGGGTGGCAGGGCCGGTGTCTCTATCCACTTGAGCAGACTGCCTGAACTGAGTAGCAGCGGTAAGCTGCCACCACTTGTGGTCGGCAGACCTAGGCTAGTTGGGAACATGATGGCTGATTAAGAACAAGCTAGATTGAGTGTTTTAAGTATCTCCTGCCAACAGAAAATAATCAGAACTTACTGAGTCTGGTGATATACAGAGAAAAAAAAAAAAACTATAGTGTTTACATATACAAGAATGAGAACATTAAAATTTTAATAAAAGACACTGGTAAAGACTTCAATGTATTCCTATCCGTAAACATTAACTCAAAAATATTTTTCCCATTTTGTAGTTTGCATGGCTACCTTTCCTTTTTCACCACTGTATCTATGATAAATCAGTAACGCAATTGAAAACTTACCCTCTGCAAGTCTTGCCATTAACTGGAGACGTCCAGTTGTTCCCAAGTCAATTCCAGTCCTTTCTAGTTCATCACTGTCCAAAAATGAGCTAGCACTAGAAGCATCAGTTCGTTCGGTAACATGTCCAACTTTCATTGGTCTCCCAGCTAACTCAAATCCATTAAGCTGTTCCAAAGCCTTTTTGGCACATTCTGAATCGGAAAACTAGAACAGACAACAGGAATTTTATCCGACTAATATACATTTATATCATTACTAAAACAGATCTAATATATATTAAGTCCAAAAAAATCTGAAAAAATAATAGATATAAAATTAGACCATCAATTTTGCAAATAAAGATGTAAGACAGTTTTTATTTTTTTTATTTTTTGTTTTTGTTTTTCTCTGTATAGCCCAGGCTGTCCTGGAACTCACTCTGTAGAACAGGCTAGCCTCAAACTCAGAAATCCGCCTGCCTCTGCCTCCCAAGTGCTGGGATTAAAGGCGTGCGCCACCACCACCCGGCTAAGACAGTTTTAATAAACATAGGCTATCTTAGTTTTAGGCAAAGTGTCATTTTGTAACATTCAGCATGGAACTCAGTATGTAGATCAATCTGGTCTTGAGATGCACCTACCTTACTTAGCATCTCAATTTCTGGGATTAAAAGTATGACAACATGCCTAGAAGCCTGACTGAATTTATAAGAGAATCTTCAGTGACTGAAAGACATGTTCCTCCTTGAAACTTCTAACATCATCAGCCCACCCACTAAATGTAAAAAGTTACCTTTTGCATCTCTTTCCTTTAATCTCCAGATTCATGTTCTCTGCGCTATACTCTAAGATTACCACCCTAACTCTTCTCAATAGATTCAATTAGGCTCATTTATCTTCTCGGATCTCACTCAATGATTCTTGTGGCCTCAAGAAATATTCCAATATTTTTCACATTCCCAGAAAATCTGAACAGTAGTGGGAGATATGCCTCTTTTCCAGAGGAATAGAGTTCAGTTCTAAACATCTACAAGGTATTCCATAATTCCAAATCCAGGTGATCTTATGCCCTCTTCTACCACTTCAGGCACCAAAACACGCCCACTATGTCATACACCCATATACACATAAATAAAAATGAATTTAAAAGCATCATGGCTGAGGACTTTTAATATTTGGGAGGCAGATCTTCGAATTTATTGGCAGTCTAAGTTATATAACTCCATCTTGTTACAGAAAGGGGTGTGGTGGGTGGGAAGGTTTGGTGTCCTCTTGCATCTACCTCCAGTGTGGTAACATTAAAGGTAAGCATAGAATAATGGTTAAGGCAATATTGAACGCCAAATCTTGATGAATAAAAAAAGGATATTACTAACTGGACTATGTATCCCCAACTCCCGAGCCATTTATCAATTTTTGAGACCCAGAAAACAACAATTCTAGCCAAATATCGTGTCCTTGGTCAGTAATTCTAGCAAACTCAAGAAGATAAGGTGCTCAAAGGCATGTAGAATCCAAAATGAGCTAAAGTGGCCTGGTATCACACCACATCTTTGATCCTAGCTTTTGCTAGACTAAAATCATGTTCAGGGACAGCTTAACATACACGTGAAGCCGGGCGGTGGTGGCGCACGCCTTTAATCCCAGCACTTGGGAGGCAGAGGCAGGCGGATTTCTGAGTTCGAGGCCAGCCTGGTCTACAGAGTGAGTTCCAGGACAGCCAGGGCTACACAGGGAAACCCTGTCTCGAAAAACAAAAAAAAAAAAAACAAAAAAAAAAAACATACACGTGAAATCCAGGACTACAAATAGACCTCACCCCAAAATAAACTAAGAAAGTAAGTACGTTGAGAGCCTCAGTTGAGAACCTGTCTCAGAAGAAAAATTGACAGGGGGGAAAAAAGGAAAAAATAAATTTTCTCTCTTCAACCATAATATGACATCCAAATTTTCTTTTAACTGATGGGTCTGTATACACAGGTAAGACCATGGACTTGGCTGTCAAGACATGAGTGTTTTAACCATGCCTGATGTGGCAGCTTATGCCTTAAGGACCTTCTAGGACTGGCTACATTTTGGAAGGTTAGACTTTCATAGGTAAGAATGTAAGAAGACTGGCCTGGCAGTGTATGCCTTGAATTCTACCACTGTGAAGGCAGAAATGTCATCTCAGTTTGATGCCACCCTGGCATACATGGAGAGTTATAGCCATGGTTAAACTTAGAAACAATGACACAACAATACTCTAATTCCAGGTGGATGTAACATAACTAAACCATATGAATTCTAGCACTGATATGCATAGATGAAAACAGACAATACACACACAAAATTAAAATAAGATTAAAAACAAATGTAGCCATGTTTACAAATGAAATCACTTGAAAACACTAACTCTTCATACGCAACTATCCTAAACCATACACAAACTTCTGAGATGTTACAGAAGACAATACTCACTGTAATGAATCCATATCCCTTAGATCGACCTGTTTCACTATCCATCATGAGCTGAATACTTTCAATCTAGAATTTAAAGGCATAAATTAGAAAAATTACTCCTTGAGACATAGTTTTGAAAAATCTGGAATATACTTTTATCTCCCAGTCCTCAAGAGGTAACAACCATGCTTTACATATGAAATTTCCCCCCTTGGCAGGGTAATAACTAATGGAAAAGTCAGGGGAAAAAAATTTAAATTTACCCTTCCAAAAGGTTCAAAGATCCCACGAAGCATATCTTCAGTTATGTTAAAGTGTAATGAGCCCACGTAGAGCCTCATAGGTCCAGCACTTCCCTTTTGTAAATTATTTGCCATGGCAGCAGCTCTGTTTTTTTCTGCCTATAAATGAATAAAAGTCAATGTCAAATACTAAACACTAATATAAACCAGGCAAACAGTCAACAAAAAAAAAAGAGTAAGGCAGAAACTGAAGTCATACCAAATAAATTTAGAAGTATCACAGCAAATACACAAGACTTCATCAAACATTTGGGCTAGAGAAAGTGAAAGAGAATGATGGATAGAATGGTTTGTCTAGTTATATAGAATGTTCAGAGGAAAGATGGTGGGTCAATGTCATTAACAGCACTAAATTGCATTGAAAGGCCTGTGTGCATGTTATAAAAACATTTCAATACGAAGCTATATAAACCCTGATCTTAAATTCTGAACACAATGGGTAATGTGTTCTAGTTTGCCATTTTAATAAAGTTTAAAGTATAATAATAATAAAGTATATATAGTTATATACAAAACTATATACAGTAATTATACTTCGCAGAATAACTTATTTTATGTAATCAAAAAATTAAGACTATTCACTGAATATTTGTAAATATATTCAGACATACAAACCAGTTTTAATTTAGTAATAAGGGGATTAAGGCATCATAAACAAGGACCCAAGTAAATCACTGGTATTTTTTCTATATTAAGACTTTCATAAGGCCAAAGAAATAGCTCAGAGGTTAAGAGGAGTGGCTGCTCTTCCAGAGGTCCTGAGTTCAATTCCCAGCAACCACATGGTGACTCACAACCATCTGTAATGGTATCTGATGGCCTCTTTTGGTGTGTCTGAAGAGAGCTTGAGTGTATTAAACTACATGGCAATCACATGGTGGCTCAAAACACATTTACAACGGGGTCTGCTGGCCTCTTCTTGAATGACAACGTACATGGAGAACACTTGAATACATAAATCCTTACCAAAAAAAAAAAACTTTGTGTGGAAGTTTTACCCATATGTACATTTGTGTACCATATGTATGTCTTTTGCTTAATTACAAACCTCTAAATCAAGTTACCTGTGATGCCTGTACTATGATTGGCACTCCTAAAACTCGTTGGCCAGTTAATCCAATTGCTAGAGGCACTGAACTGACATCAACAAACTCCACATAAGCAATTCCTTTGGAACGTCTTGAATTTCTATCAGAAATCATTCTCACATCTCGAACCTAAGATGAAAAGAAATGTTATTACTATTCTCTAGTCAATATCCCAGTACAAACTACACACATAATTTCTTCAACATGTAAGAGGCTTTTCCCTCAGAAATACTGTCTCAATACATGTCCCTGTGGCTTAAACTTCATTGTGTAGACCAAAGTGGCCTTAAATTCACATAAATCTGTAAACCTCTGCCTCCAGAGGTTGCAAAAAAATTTCACAACCAGTTATGGCAGTGGAACAAGTAGTAATGAAGCACGCCAGGCCAGCATGCACCATACAATCAGACTCAATAATCAATCATTGTGTATGGTGGTGCACTCCTATACTCCTAAGCATAGTTCACCCAGGTTTACAGACACATGTTCCAGGACAGCCACAGCTGCTCAGAGAAACCCTGTCTACAAGACAAGACAAACAACTCAGAATGAAGATAGAGATTTCAGTATTTAACCACATCCTATGTTCTACCAAGATTATATTATCTACCTAAGACTTGTTCCTTAAAAACCTGAGATAAATTATTGGATTGTCTTTGAAGAAAGTGTCAAGATTTTAGCTGTTCATCTTGGACTATATAAATGAAAATGTTATCAGCTAATGATTAAGTCCTTTAATACAACAGTCACGGATGATGTTATTTTAACAGGTTGTCCTGTAACCACAAGAAGCATGTCTGCCTTAACCTCAAAAGAAGCCATTATACTCAGAACATTCCTAGTATTTTTACCTTTTTACATATAAATTTTCATTTTAATACATCAAATATAATCATAGCTTAACGATAAAGAACGAATCATTTTTATATGCGACATAAGGAATATTACGGGGCAGAGGATAGCCTGAGGCAACACAGTGGGTAAGCAATAGAGGTGTCTTGCAAGAACCACAAGTCCAGAATGAAGACTTTAATAACTATGGTAAGTCTTCCAAATTTAAGTAACTTCTTACTACTGTTTCTCTTTCATTTTTTATTAACGTTCTTTTGTAGTTGTCATTCTGTTTTCCTGAGACAGTTTCCCCCCCGCCCCCAGACAGAAGGTTTCTCTGTATAGCCCTGGCTGCCCTGGAACTCACTCTGTAGACAAGGCTGGCTTCAAACTCAGTAATCTGCCTGCCTCTGTCTCCCAAGTGCTGGAATTAAAGGTGTGTGCCACCACTGCTCGGCTCTGAGACAGGTTTTTGACTATCCTGAAACTCACTCTGTATATCTCCCTGCCTCTGCCTCCTAAATTCTAGGCAGGTGCCACAACTAGCTAGCCTCCTATTAAATGTGCATAATGCCATACTGTCACTATCCATGATTACATTCTAAAATTGGAAGCTAAGTTCTTAATTGCTAATGGCATAAGCACAATGCAAATAAATAGGACTTTGAGAAAGCTGCAACTGACCTGGAAAACTCTTCCCTGAAGACTAGCTCTCATAGTACAGAAGGCACTTAAACAAGCTGCCTAAGGGAGATAAGCTAACTGCCCCAGTCTTCTATGTTTGATGAAGAGACTGCACTCACAAAAAATACAACAGCAACAATACAGCAGCGAAAACAAGACATACCTGATGAGCTAGTTTTCTAATACTAAGTGGTGTTAGCCCTAGAACTATACACATACAAAGACCAATACATGAACTCAGCCAATTGTATTTCTATATATGAGAAGTAATTAAAGGGAAGGTAAGATTTTTTTTATCTGTAACCCTATTGTGCCAAATACACAGTCTTTGGTTTTCTTTGGAGAAAAGTTTTTTCCTTACTTTGAGACAGGGTTTCTGTTTAGCCTCTGATGTCCTAGAACTTAATGTTGACCAGGCTGGCCTCAAACTCAAAGATCACCCTGCCTCTGCCTCCTGAGTGCTGTGGTTAAAGGCTTCCAAGAGCACTACCTATTTTTTTTTTTTTTGGACAAAACTCTATGTAGCCACGGCTGTCCTTTGAAATCACAGCGATATATCATGATATAGGATTTAAGGTACATGTTACCACACCCAAACACAGTGACAATTACTGAAAAATACTCTACAAACTTACATTCTTTAAAATTTGGTAAGTTACCTTTCCTACTGTAGAGAAAAATTCTTCCAAATCTCTTGGTCGAATTCTTGCTGCCAGTTGCATGCAGAAAACTGTCCTTGCATCCCTTTCCTCAGGAGTGAGATTATCAATAGGTTCCCTAACAAAAGAAAAACCACAAAATTAACTTTGGAATATTATTTGGACACAGGGACTAATGTATCATGGTTGTCCCCAAATCCTCTGTGTTCTTTGGTTTTTCGAGACAGGGTTTCTCTGAGTAGCCCTGGCTGTCCTGGAACTCACTCTGTAGACCAGGCTAGCCTCAAACTCTCGAACTCAGAAATCCGCCTGCCTCTGCCTCCCAAGTGCTGGGACTAAAGGCGTGCGCCACCACCGCTACTAAGAATGTTTCTCTGTGTAAGCTTTGCTGTACTGGAATTCTCCCTGTAGACCAGGCTACCATAAAACCAAGTGCTGGGAAAGATGCCTGCCACCACAGCCCACTTAAACTCCTTTCTTAACCAAGAAGGCTCTTGGACGTGTGTGTGTGTGTGTGTACACCTATTAAGGTGACACATCTCTAATGTATTTCTGAATGTATGCAAGTATACTCAATCATTCAAAGCTCACAAAGATCAGAACACTCAAAATTTGAATTACCTATGACTGTGAACTGCCATGTAAGTGCTGGAAATTGAACCCAGGCTTTTTCAACAGTCAAGTGCTTATAAGCACCAAGTATTCTCAACAGCCCTATCTTGAACATTCTATTTCTACTTCTCAGTTTGTTGGATTTATAGACCTGCATCATTCTAAGCAGTTGTAGGTATCACTGCAATAAATCTTTATCAAATTTGTAGTCTTCAGGGGATTGAGGCCCACAATGCACACATTAGGCAAATGATCTACACTGAAATGTGTCTCCAGTCCTGGAGTAATTTTTAATGTATATACTTCAGTAAAAATGTAAACAAGGAGTTAGAAAGATGAATTGCCATTTAAGGGTATTTGCTGCCATGCAGAGGCTATGCTCTATTCCCAACATTATATTATGAATCACAATTCCAGTTCTCTTCTGATCTCGAGAAACCAAGTAAACAGTACACATAATAGAGGCAGAAAAACATTACATTAATTTAAAAATAAGCTTCAATTTGTAGTCAATTTTTCAAAATACAGTTGTACTTTCTCCCCCCCCCTCCCCCCACTTCGAGACAGATTTCTCTGTATAGCCCTGGCTGTCCTGGAACTCACTCTGTAGACCAGGATGGCCTCAAACTCAGAAATCTGCCTGCCTCTGCCTCCCAAGTGCTGGGATTAAAGGCGTGCGCCACCACCGCCCGGCCAGTTGTACTTTCATCTGTACAAAATGTTCACAATACAAAGTCTACTTCCTTTGACAGAGTAATTGAAAAAAAAATTTTGCTAATCAGACTATTCGAGATACCACAGCTAAAACAACTGTCCTTAAGTCAACAAAGCAGTTATTTCTCCATATTAAAGAGCTAATCAAGGAGCCTTCACAATTGAAAGACAAATTGTAGGAGTGAACAAAATCTACATAATGAAAACAAAATATGCAACTAAATTTGAAAACTTGAAATGATCAATGTGAGAATGCAACCTTCAAAGAGTTCCAGGGATTCCAATTGAATTGGCATTATTTCAATGACAAAAACTAATACACAGAGCTTAGGAGTTTATTTCTGTAGAAAAGCAACTGCTTATCATATTCCAAATTCTAAATGAGGAAATAAAGGGAGTGATCAAATCAAGTTACAAACAGCAGTAGGAGACAAGAGGCAAGAAAGAACAAAGAATCACTCTATCTATGTGGAATTTCCATAATGGAATATAATTTACATGTCAAAAAAAAAAAAAAAAAAGAGCCAGGCAGTGGTGAAAGGCTCTCAGCTATCTATGTGAACCAACCTCCTGTTAACTAATGGAGATATTCATTCCTCAACCTTGAAATTGTTAGGAATAAAGGTTCAAGATATGGTGTTCAACAATTTTCACAAAAAAATTGATCTATTAACATTACTCATTGTTAATAGATATCAGCACCTAAGGGCCATATATTGCTCTTCCAGATGACCTGACTTCAGTTTGCAGTACCATGTTGGGTGACTCACAACCACCTGTAACTCCTTAGTGTTAATAACTCTTGTCCCTTAGGACACCTAAGCTCACACCCAAATACATTACTTAAAACAGTAAAATCAGGGCTGGAGAGATGGCTCAGTGGTTAAGAGCACTGACTGAACTTCCAGAGATCCTGAGTTCAAATCCCAGCAACCACATGGTGGCTCACAGCCATCTGTAATGAGATCTGATGCCCTCTTCTGGTGTGTCTGAAGACAGCTACAGTGTATTCATATATAATAAATAAATAAATCTTTAAAAAAAAAAAAAAACAAAAAAAAACAGTAAAATCAGCCGGGCGGTGGTGACGCACGCCTTTAATCCCAGCACTTGGGAGGCAGAGGCAGGCGGATTTCTGAGTGCGTGGCCAGCCTGGTCTACAGAGTGAGTTCCAGGACAGCCAGGGCTACACAGAGAAACCATATCTCAAAAAACAAAGAAACAAAAAGCAAAACAATTAAAGAAAATCTTTTAAGTAATATATGTATAATAGAAACATGGTCATATTCTATATACTACTAGAAACTTCTTAGAAACAAAAAAAAAGTTCTTATACTTCTTAGAAACAAAAAAAGATAGATCAGAGAAGTCAGTAGAGAATTTTTTTTGTAAATCCAATAAGCTATAAAAAAACACAGATTCAGAGACTGAGGATTTTCTTACAAGTAAACCAAATGTTCACAATAAATCAGTATTTGTTCCAATTTCATAAACATGTAAGATTTTATCTAATCCAAAAATTTTAAGATTAGAATACATCCCATAACAAGTTTAACAACTAGAAGACTGGCTACCCTTACCAAAATCTATCGTTCTCAGTTCTCAGCAACCTAACGAAGCTCAGAACTATCTGTACTCCAGTTCCAGGAAATCTAACCCTTCTTACGGGCTTGGAGGGCACCCGGCATGATATCCTTCATAAATATTCCTGGAAACAAACACTCCTTTTAAAAAAAATATAAGTTGGGCACAGTGGCACACACTGTTATCCCAGCACTAAAGTGGCACAGGCAAGTAGAACTGAAGGACTGGGCCAAACAGAATGTTTCAAGTTACCTATGGCTAAAAAGGTGTACCTTGCCCCCCAAAAATTAATTAATTGGGCTGAGATGGAGATGCTCTTCCTGAGGTCCTGAGTTCAATTCCCAGCAACCACATCGTGTCTCTCATCCATCTATAATGGGATCTGATGCTTTCTTCTCGTGTGCATGAAGTTAGCTACAGTGTACTCATATACATAAAATAATAAACCTTCAAAAAAATAATGAAAATAAATTTAAAGTATTCTACTTAAGGTCAACCATGTTAGTGAAGCATGATACCAAAAGTTAAAATGTGCTCTGAAGCACTCTGCATTATACAGTTGGAAACTTATTGAGGAAATAATTTAAGAAACTTCATGAATATATTTAACCATTCAATCATATAAGATATATAAGGTGAAATGTACTTTTTCATGCAACCATGCTAAAGTAGTAAAACTTATGATTGTTACTTTATTTTACTACAAGAGCTATTCAAATGTTACTACTTAAGAATTCCATGAAGGCTGGAGAGATCGGTTAAGAGCACTAATTGCTCTTCCAGAGGTCCTGAGTTCAAGTCCCAGCAAAAACATGGTGGCTCACAATCATCTATAATGGGATTTGATCCTCTCTTCTGGTGTGTTGGAAGACATCAACAGTGTACTCATATAAAAAAAAATTCCATATGAAATGAAGCCTACTTAAAATCATCAGGGCAACTGCCATGACAAACCTCTTTGTGTAAATACAGAAAAAGATGATCTATAATATCTGCACTTTCAAATAATATTAAAGATTATATGAGGACCAAGCTACTGAAAGTTCATAATCACTGTACAATATCACTGTACATAATCACGGTACAAATACTCAAAAAGGAATTTAAAGACTTAACATGATTATTTTCATTATATAAATTTAAGAAGTTTTTTTTTTGTTTGCAGAAAAGTTGGGGGGACGGGGGAGCCAACAGTTACCTCACAGGGCTCTTGTCTTTCCTGAATGGACTTTTGCTTCGGGATCGTCTTCTGCTGCAAGGTTAAAAAATTTCACAAGTTAACCAAACAGGTACAATCACATTAGTTTCTTGAAATACAATTTAAACAATTCAGAAGTATGTTTAAAAACCTTAATTTGATGCTATGAGGCAACCCAATCTTTCCTCGGATGGCACTGTTAAATTTTGGTCCGGAGCTAAAAAGAAAACACAAAATTACACTAGTTACAGGTTTAGGGTGTGTTGCTAACATCAAGTTCATGGGCTCCCCAACAAGTCAAATACTGTTTAGGCTGCTTCTTTTCTACCTCAATTATATAGAGGAAACAACAGAACTTAGAAAAATCATAACTTTATCCCAGACCTGTAGCCCTTGTTTTTCTATCCTGGACCAGGTTCAAGGTGCCAAGAACTAAAGTTACAGCCTCAAAATTTTTTGGTTCTTAAAAAAAAAAAAAAACTCATCACATCTATTTTCAATCATATAATCATGAACATGAGTCTTTAAAAATACAAATAGGGTAAAAACAATTACCTCTGTACTCTCATCCCAATATTGGTTTATATATAATTCTTTAAAAAGTATGCACTTAACATGTACACACTATACATTTTTATTCAACAACTTTTGACACAGGGTCATGAAATTCAGGTAACTTTTTTTTTAATTATTTATTTTATGTATATGGGTACACCATAGCGGCCTTCAGACACACCAGAAGAGGGCACCAGATTCCATTACAGATTATCTTGAGCCACCATGTGGTTGCTGGGTATTGAACTCAAGACCTCTGGAAGAGCAGCCCATGCTCTTAACTGCTGAGCCATCTCTCCAGCCCCTCAGATAACTCTTGAACTCACTATTTAGCAAAGAGTGATCATGAACTCTTGTTTCTCCTGACTCAACCTGAGATTCCAGTGCTGAGTTACTGCCTGTACCCCCTTACTCATCTTTTTCTTCACTCCCCCTCACTCCTTCCCCCTTCTCAAGGCAGGGTACAGACCTGGTTGCTATGGAACTCACTAAAGATAGACCACAGTCAGAGATTCCACCTGACTCTGCCTTTACTCAGATTAAAGGTGCATTCTACCTATGATAAGCACAGAGCTCTTTTGTCTTTTAACACAGGTTCTTACTGTATCTTCCAATTGGCCTGAAACTCACAAAGATCCTGTCTGACTAGTGCTGGAATCAAATGTGAGTGCCACCTTGCCCAGTTTCCATGTAGCAATTCTTAATCGGAATTATCAGAATATTCATGGTACTATATTATTATAGAAGATATAATAAAAATTCAACATTAGTTCACTAAGGAAAAAAATTAAGACTTTTATGATGCAAAGACAACTTTCAGTTCTGGAATACACCTGTCCCATAGCCCAACACCAATATTGCAAAACATGATAAAAGAGGGGTTCACAGTAACTCAATCATAATATAAATAACGTTTGTCCCTTTTTAAAGATAAAGCTTACTTAAAGGCTCATACATAAGATATGTCCTATAGTATTCAATCATCGTCATTAAAGAGGATTGGCTCAGTAGAGTATTAGTTGCTCTTGCAAAGGTTCTGAGTTCAATTCCCAGCAACCAATTGGCTTGTCCTTCAATAATAGGATCTGATAATTTTTCTGTCATATAGGAACACATGGAAATTAAGCACTCACATACACAAATAATCAGAAAAAAATGTTTTAAAAAAATCTGTATTAAAGAACTATGAGGGTCCTTTAATTAGGCTCAGTAAAATAAAGATGTTAAAAGATTTGTTATTTACATTTAGTTTTAAGAAAAACTATGCTGCCGGGTGGTGGTGGAGCACACCTTTAATCCCAGCACTTGGGAGGCGGAGGCAGAGGCAGGCGGATTTCTGAGTTCGTGGCCAGCCTGGTCTACAGAGTGAGTTCCAGGACAGCCAGGGTTACAGAGAAACCCTGTCTCAAAAAAAAAAAAAAAAGAAAAAAGAAAAGAAAAACTATGCCAACTTATAATCAAGTTGTTTCAAATAAAACTCTTCTGTCCCTTCTAACTCAGACTTTAAAACAAACTTTTTTCTTTTTTATAGGGTATATATATGCCTGACTTTGCTTACAATTCACATTGTAGATCAATGTGGGCTGGAACTTAGCAGGCTTGGAAATGTGCTCTGTAAACCAGGCTGGCCTTAAATTCACAAAGATGTGCCTCTGCCAGCCCTACTGTACTTCTCCTTTGGTTATAAAACCGTATAGCTAATAGCCACCACAAACTTCAATTCAAACCAAAACAAGAAGTATTTAAATTAAGTCAGACTTGAGTAAAAAGCAGACATAAATAATAGCTTCTCAAAAATAGTATTCCGATTTTTAAACCTATCTGTCCCCTATTTAGTTCACCCCAGTAAGAAAATTTACAGTCTTAAAGGATAAACCTTTAGAAAAACCAAAAAAAAAAAAAAAGAAGAAGAAGAAAAAATGTCTAATATATTCAGAATTTTTGCTCAGTGGTAGAGCACTTGCCCTAGGTTTGGTCCTCAGCAAACCAGGGCAAGAAAAACAATAAAAATAGCATGAAGACTATGATATAAACTAATATAAACATAAAAAAACAGAGGGGCATCCAGACTCAGATACACACACTATACAATAAAAATTATCCAGGATCCAAAATATTTTCACATTATAGCAGTATCTAATAGGCATATTGTTGACATTCTTTATTATTATGTCCAAGTTTATTCCTCAACCAAAGCACAGAGGCTTATTCAGTTGACCATCTTTAAATTCAATTCTAAACTACTTACATCCTATAAATTAAACATATTAAGGGAAATAAAGCTTTCATAATGTCCCCAAGTTCAGTTCCCAGTATCCACATATCCATAAGCTCACAAATGCCTCCTGTAACCCATTAACCCCTTCCCTGGCCGGGGGGGGTGGGGGGGCGGAATGTCCAATGCTTTTGGACTAGCTGAAATCTAACAAGCACAGATACTTTAAAAAGTGGTTTTAAAAGGTGTGCTTAGTAAAGAATTAAGGACTTAAACATCAAAGAAGATTCATGCTTGTTTTAATCCTTGCTTAGAAATGCAGTTTCTTTCTTTTTCTTTTTTTGGGTTTCTCTGTGTAGCCTTGGCTGTCCTGGAACTCAGAAATCTGCCTGACTCCGCCTGCCTCCGCCTCACAAGTGCTGGGATTAAAGGCGGGTGCCACCACTACTGGGCTAGAAACACAGTTTCTTTCCAAAGCTGTTAATACAGATTTTAAAAAAAAAATTTTCGGGGTGGTGGCGGTGCACGCCTTTAATCCCAGCACTTGGGAGGCAGAGGCAGGCGGATTTCTGAGTTCGAGGCCAGCCTGGTCTTCAGAGTGAGTTCCAGGACAGCCAGAACTACACAGAGAAACCGTCTTGAAAAAAAAAAAAAAGAAAAGAAAGAAATAACAGGAGTAATGAGCCCGAAGCATAAAAAATTTGAGCTACACACAACATTTTCTTGTAACTAATTTATCTACCTGTACTTTACAGTTCACCAACTTTAGGCTATATCAAGCACTCGAGTGCTTTATTTTAATTTGGACTGTTGTACAACTTCTAGCTTGTGAAGAAAAACAGCTGCTAAGTCTGGTAGATTGTAAATTTTATATAGGAGTCCACATACTACATTTTCTTTCCTTACTAGCTTCAATGTTGTTATCCTTAATTTAATTATGGATTTATCTATTCCTATTCCTCCAGTTAAACTGCTATCTAAACACATGAAACAGCAGTCTTAATAACAATTACATACTAGGGACTTCTGTAGCGGCCTCGGAATCTTCTATCTCGACTTCGTGAGCGGCTTCGTCTCCGTTCTTTGCTTCTACTTCGTTTCCGCTCTCGGCTTTTGCTCTTTTTCCTTTCTCTATCTCTACTTCGTTTCCGTTCTTTACTTTTGCTTCTTTTTCTCTCATGACTACGACTTCTGCTCTTGCTTTTTTTTCTCCTGAGGGGGGAAAAAGTACCATTACATGCTGGTTTAAATAGCAACCAATTATACACTTCCTTTTATGGTCAAAATGTTTATTTTTTTGTTAATGTATTTTTACCACTGTTCAATGGTACAAAAATCATACTTTAGGGAAAACAGTTCCTAAGTATGGGACTTAACTCCCCAACCTTTCCTTCATGTTAACTGAAGATAGTTAAAAGAATTGAGAGACAGGATTAAGAGGAAGAATTCTCAATGATCTCCTGAGGCAGCTACCGCTTGAAAGAAGAAAACAGGACTTGCTGGTAAGTAGAAAACCAAGCCTGAACTTTTAAAAAACTTCAAGTTTAACTGCCATTCACATAACAGACCAATTCATATCATGGTACAGGCTATAGATTAAGTTACAGCATGTTCACAATCAAGAAATAGTAATTGTCATATAAAATTTTTTCATTAAAAATTTATAGTCAAATTTGATACAGTATACATGTAAGAATGTTTTATACTTTTCAAAACACAATATATAAATATATGTATGTTTTGCTTTTTATGGGCAAAATTACAATAAAGGATCCTAAGAATGCAGTAAAATACACTTTCACAACCCGAGATTTTACTGTAACCACTTAAAGCTATAACAAAATAGAAATTGCCCTTTTTAAGCTTGTTTATTTAAGCCTGTTGGATGCAATTAAAACAATTTGACCTTCCTTGGAAAGTAAAAAAAAAAAAAAAGCCAGTCAGTTATCTTTCCACTCATTTCTGGGTTCTTCACAGTTTTTCACATTAACAATTAAACCTTGAAATCTGTACCTCTGTCATCACCCAAATTAGAGGTGCCTTCAGATATTTGAATGTAAATTGAAAGACATTTCAAAATAAGTTTACTCCACCAAAATGTCCATTTGTAAGTGGTCCGAGATCTGAACATTTTGACATCTCTACATCATTAGGAAAATTAATGAGCTATTTAATTTGTATCAAAGCAAAATTAGCACAAGAACAACTGAGGTGTGCCTCAGAGAACCTGTAAGCAGGTCATCTTAGAGTGCATTGAAAATAGAAAATGAAGACACCCACCTTCTGGAATCTTGAAACCCACACTCCAATCACAAGGAGATGTAGAGCTTTCCAAGGAGGCAGAAACTTTGTCTAAAATTTCAAGATAATCCACCTGACTGTCAGAAATATGCTAGGTAGCACATGACAGAAAATTAGGCTACACTCATTATTTATGTAGTAGTAAAAGCAACTCCAATGCTCAGGAAGGGCAACAATTAACATTCCAACTTTGATGTTTCAAACCCTGACACCACTTCTTAGGACTAAAGAATTCTAAGATGGCTAAAACCATAAGTCCTACCTATATTACTTCAAATTAGGGGATAAGGTTACAATTAATTCCATTCCCCAGAAAAAAAAGGATAGTAATTGTTGCTCTGCTTAAATGTGGCCCATAGCAGAGTCGATCTGCCTATATTTACATTTCATAGGCCCCCAATCTTATTCTTCCAAAAGCTAAACAAACAAAAACAAAAAAACCAGAATTTTAACTCAACATCTTCTTGCTAGACTTTTCACAAGCAAATGCCCACCCACATCTGAAGGCAACCCAAGATAGGTAAATAGACAACATCAATTATCCAGAAAATACTATCTTCTACAAAAAAGCCCAGACAAGATTGTTACAAGAAACCAACGTACTTCTCTAGAACAAATTACAGCATTAGAAAACATTTTTTCAACTAAAGAAATGGTCATAAATTCCATGCTAATAGTCAAATCCTGTTACAACTTAAATGGGACTTTCCCAAGTCTTTAGTGGCAGTGGAATTTTGTACTGAACATCATTGAAGTAAATGGTCCACTGGGCCTTTGGACTTTTTGGTTATATGGCCTCTGCTGTAAAGGTGTTTTGCTATAACTGGATTTGACCTCTTCCATGTAAGAAGATCTAAATTTTAAATGCAAAGTATTCTGGAAAATAAGAAAAAAAATAGAAAAGTCATTTATTCCAAAATTTGATAATCGACACCACAGTATCCAATATATTTTTAACTGTGCCATTTTACTGTTATTCTTTTCTGATTCTTTAAAGACTTAACAAAATGAAGTTTGATTTGAGACTGCAAAACTGGTTACAGTAACAAATACTTCCATGAGGTTAGTAACCTCAGATACCTCAGAGCGTATTGGAGGCCTTGACAAACTCAGTGTTAAAATTTTAAACTCTTCAGAAAATAGGCTAAAAGGTTGTTACATTAAACTTTGATTCCTTTACTACTGGGATACAATACAGTGTGTAATAAATGACAATTAGTTTTTTAGTTTATATACTTAGCTAACTTTGTCAGAATGTAGTTTCCTATTCTTACTACCTTAACAGCAATAGTTATCTCCAACATTCAATGGCTTTTAATTCAACAGTATTAGCATGAACCACACCAAAATGACATCTACCTTAGGTTAACATAAATTACCTTAAAGCAAGAGCAGATGTTTGTTTTGTCTCATCTATCCATCTATCTATCTTTTACATTATGTTCATTACATAATGACATTTTCCTTCAGATCACCAGATTAAAAACTTTGTAACTAATTTAAGCAATCACCTAATTTAAATCAGCTGTAACTTAAGTCAGACAGAAGTATTTTGAACATTTTAAAGATATTACTAAACGAAGTATGTAGGAAAGCTCAGAATAAAAGTTTCATATTAAATTACCCAACTGACTCTACAGCAGAACACTTATTTCATTGAGCATTTAATGCTCTAATTCCTCATAAAAAGCTTGGTGATCTTTCAAGAGTTTAGATACAGGATTAGGAGTACAATCTGAAGAGATTAGTGAGAATAAGTGAAGTTAGAAAATAGTGCAGAATTTCCATTCAAGTTTATCCTCATCCTTTTGAATTTAAGATAAAAATCTTTTCTAAGTCACTAGGCCAGAGTCTAAAAATGAGTAATTTTTATAAACTGGTAGATACCTGTCCCTGGGTTTTCTTTCGGCTATAAAATTATGAAACTGAAACTTTAGGAAACTCAATTCAGAAAAGACTGAAAATGCACACTATGAACCCTGTCAACTATTATCCAAATCCCCTTTAGTAAGAAACTATTATTGACTCCCACCTAAGCTTGTACAAGGAAAAAAAAACTTCAATGAATTAGACCTTCTCTCTTAACATCTTGATCTAAGAAATCCAGCTGGAATTTTGATCATCTTGCCTCATCTTAAGTGAGAAAATTATACGCCTGAACCACAACGCCCAACCCACGTTAATTCCTTACCACATTAAGATTATAAAACCTTGGCTTAGCAAAACCTAAATAACCCACATCAAACAATTTTCTCATCTATTTTATGAAATTATATCAACCTACCTAACAAAGTTGTTGTGAGGAGGACTGAGGTAGTTATTATGAAGCACTTTGAGCTCTTAGGAGGAGGAAAAGAGCCAAAAAGAATCAAATAAGTGGCTATTTTATCATTGTTTTTTTAATTAAGTATTACGTGGTCATGATATGACAAAATGTTTTAGTATGGCATTATAAACATAGGCTAGGACATCTTGATGTACTAACATGACCACTATCATGTGAAGAGTTACTAATCTTGGAGATGAATCGTATTTCACAACAGCCGCAGCCTCCAACCTTATTAATTGGATCCTGTTTCAACTGTTAATATACCTTTTTTTGTATACTGTATTCTGTACTAAATCTGTAGCATCAAGTTCTTATTTCAACTTAGTCATCTATCTCTCAATTATATTACATACTCTTAATGGTCTACTTGGATACACTAGAGATAAAAAGGCCCAAGAAAAGAAACAAAGAAAAAAAATCCCATCAAAACTATTAAGTATACTTCATTACTATCAAAAGGGCCTTTAAGCAGCAAGAAACGGAAACAACTGATAGCTGATTCCTTTTGTGAATGAAGGTAAGCAGTACTTTCCATTTCCTTGGCATTTTTTTTCTATAACATCTTCTATCTCAATGATTCCTCTCATAACATCTCCAAAGCCAGTTACCAAATTTAAAGCATTATAGAACTCAAGAGAATCATGGGAGTTTGGAGAGCAAAGTGTCCAGAAGGTCTTTGGAACCATAGCCTGAAGTCTATATACCACAAAGCCCACGGCATTATATCCTGAAGGACTTTCTCATCTCAAATGTTATAAGCAGTTTTCTAAAAGACGAAGAAAACCATAGTCTGATGCTTTACCCGAAGAACAGATTTCCACAAGGTTAGTTCCCACCCCCCCCAGGTTCCTTAGTCAAACTTACTTTTTGCTACGTTCTTCATGGCCGTTAGCACTGTTCAACTTGTTCTCATCCTAAGCAAGGTTGATAGAAGAACATCATGAGGACGAAGTGGTAACATTTCAAGTTGTCAAAGGGTAAAGGGAATAGGAATAAGAAAATACAAAACAATTTTAAAACTAATTACTTATTTAGTTTAACATGGAAGGCTATAAAAAAATTTAGATGGTATACGTTTAACCACTTTGTTGCTAATAATTAAGTCATCAAGAAACAAAAAATTAAAATCTTTCCACATTTAACATGTTATATTTTACTTTCTTATTGTTTAGATATTAAATAAAGTCATCCAGAATTACAATGTTGAAGTGGTTAAAGATTTCTATGAAACATGAAGTCATTTTGAGTTTTAGTCCATGTGCTATTGTCCCTTTTGTCGGTACCATGGCTCTATTTCTGCCTAAGCCCCAAGTGGCCATGCTAGCAGCCAGCCACTATCGATTTCCTGTGACCGATGCCATTCCTGAGATCTTCGCCCATTTCCGTTGGAGGGTTGGGACTGTAAGAGCTTGATGCCACCTCTGTCACACATCTCGCCCTGAAGCAAACAGGGATTCACACTGCTTTAGTAATGTTGACTCCCAAGAACCCAAGAAAAGTTCATTAATAATCCACCAGTCCAGCCTAAACACTTCCTACTTCCATACCTGTTTACATGGAATTACAGCCAAGTTAAACTACAAGAAACATTAAAGCAGAACGTATGGCTTCAAGAGTCTAGCATTGCAAAATTACACTACTTAAAGCTATCAGAATTCATCCAAAAGGCACCACATGGTCCTGCTACACTCCAAGACAAACGTATTATTTTTAAACGGTTTAAGCGCAATGTTTCTTTCACAGTTTGAACACATCACCAATAGTAGGATATCTAAGTTACAAGGCTTAAGGTTGTGACACCAGTGATAATGCATGCATGCACACTGCTATTTTCACCACCAACTGGTCAAAGAATGAAGAGTGCTTACTTTTACTGTGATACCGAAATGGGTCATATTGTATTACTAGCCAAAATACTTCCTTTCTAGTTTTTAGTGTGAAAAACTATGGCAGGGCCTAATTAAAAACAAAATACTATGGAGAACAGTAAAACAGTCATCAAGTGACTCTAAGCTGTGATACTGTCTCTTGCCTTTTTTCTTTTCTTTCTTCTTTTTCTTGTTTTTTTTTTTCCTTTTCTTTTTTTTGTTACTTTCTATTCAGGGATCCAAGAATCTTAGTAATTATTAACTGAAAAGCAGATCAATACCTGCCTGTTTTAAGGTTCACTATTACCAGCCTTATATCTATTTATATAAAATAAATTTTAAATCTCACCCATTTCTTCTTTCAAGACTTGTAAGATTTACTTGCCAGAGACTGGTTGTAATTTATTATTCTTGGACCCCTGCAATTTTCCCAAACCACTACATTCACCTTTTTGCTATACCAAACTGGAGCTGGTAATTCTTAGTTGAGTCATTTTACCTAGGGGACCACGGTACAGCGATAAGTCACTCAATTACTACCTTATGATTGACAGTTCACACTGGAATCAAAGGTGAATTCATGGGAGTAGAGGTGAGATATCGTTAGGCAAGTCTACAAAGAGAGATAGATGGGCATTTATTCATCACGCTGAAGTGAAACTACTGCACAATATTATTACATCAATAGCATATATTTACTTTTGTAAGTTACACGTAATGCATCTCTGATAAGATAATCAAGAGGGCTCCGGGAAGGTTAGTTTACATTTCAGCAGTAGTTTCGTGAATAATGCTAAATTAAGAAATATATTAAAGCTCACTAGCATGTTTTCTCACCTTCTTGTAAGGGGCCTCAAGCATTGCTTCAATATCAATATCGTCTGCCATTTTCTCTACTCGCCTGGGGAAGAACAAGACAGTCCTGTAAGTAAACAACCTGCAATTCTCATTTTTTAAAAAAAAAATCTCCTTGACCTAAATACTCAAAGCCTGAGAAAAATTCTTTACAAGCACTACGATGGCTAAAATTGTGCGATGCACAACACACAAGGCTGACTTGGCTAAGTAAATGCGGTATGTTTCTTTCATCTAACACAGGAGCAGAATTCAATGTCTGATTTCAAAAACCCGCCCAGGAACCGCTAAAACCGGACCTGAGAATAGGAACCAGAGCGCTTCCTTTAGCACAAAACCCGCGCTGCCATTTTAGCGGCAGAGGGAAACTCCCTCTGCTGGGAGGGGTTGTGTACCAAGGTAGCGTTCGACAGGCGCCATGTTGGGAGGTCGCGACCAGCCCCGGCCTCCAAAGGACAGATCTTTATCTGCCCGAGGTCCCCACGAAGTTCCTTGTCACTACGAAAATCTCCACAATGCCCTTGCCAGAAATGAAGGGCACAGCCAGGGAGAGGTGACCAAGCTTCCCGAAAGGCCCCCTCCCCCTCTGCGCGCTGATAAAAGCGTCTAAAAGCCTCGGCATCTCCGACCACCCGACCTAAGGCAGCCTGACCACGACTCGCACTCCGCGACGCCCTATACCTGTGCGGGTTTTCGCGCGCCTGTGCTCGACTCGGGAAGTCGGCTGCCGCTGCCGCCGCCGCCGCCGCCGCCGCCGCCGCCGCTGTTGCTACTGTTAAGCCACTAGGCCCAGGCCGCGGTACCGCCCAACCCGAATATCGGGCCCCGAGGGCGTCTAGGCCCAAGCGAATCTAAAAGAAACAATGGGATTAAAGGAGCCCGCGACGGAGAGCAGGGCAGCGGCTTCGGCAGCTCAGGATCCACCCCTGCGACAGCGTCGACTAGCTCCCTGAAATGGCGGCCGCTGCTCCTCCGTACTCACATTCACCAACACATACACACACACAAACACCCGGGGTCTCCCGGAGCCTCAGCACGGGCTCTCGCGAGAAACTGCCCAGTGTTCCAGCCTGGAAAGCACTAAATATCGCGAGATCTCACTACGGCTTCAGCGACCGTGGCCCAATCTCGTGCAATGATTGCGCCACAGATGATCCCATCCTCCCTTCCCCCAATTCGGAAAGGCTTCTCGGACTCCCCCTCCAGATAGGCACCCAAATCTCGCGAGGCTACGCCGTCTGCAGGGCAGAGACAGTTGGTGCACTGACTGTCAATCTTTGGAAGAGTGCCTTGCTGAGTGGGTCATTGCTGTCATCCCGGCTGGTGTCATGTCCTCACTGGGTGTGAAGGTTTCCCCTCTCGGAGCCGACCGACCCCCGCCCCCAACACCCGCCCTCCCACGCAGATGGCTGTCAAGGTCGCCATAAGGCAACCTATTATAGTACATATGGCTGTAGGGTAAGACATTCGTGTCCAGATTCACCGATGATGAAAACGCATGCAGACACGAATGATCTGTTCATAGGGGAATGGGAATAAAAAAATAGGATTTTCTTGTCATTTGGTGTCACCAGTTAGATGCGGTCTCGATGGTGAAGCTTTAGAAACACCCTTTGAAACCGGAGGCAGTGGACAAGGTGGGAAGAAACCGCAGTGTGTAGTTTTCTAACTCCTGAATTTAGTCGGGCTATGTATCGGGACTATTTTTTACTTTAAAAGATACCCTAGCATTGCCCTAGGATTTTGATTGTCTACGTGTAAATTTACCGCTTTTGTTTATTTTTATTGGATTTTGTTGGCCTTTTGTGTATTTGGGAGTGTTTAATTCTGTGGCAGAGAAGCTGAGAGATCATTGGAAGATTTTTTTCCCTTTCACATAATAAAAAACGTTTTCAGATAAAATTAAATATCAAACCAGTCTTGAAACCTCATCAGCAGCTTAATAATTGAGAGCATAAAAGATTCAAAATGTCACACCTTGGTTGGTGTTGCTGCTCCAACACTGAGTGACCTTGGGCACGTAAATTAAGTTCTCCATATATTCCATTTCCTCCTCAAGGGGTGGTATTATAATTAGTACCAAGGATAAGCTTGACACTAACCAAGGTTGCATATGTTCACTAACGAATTCCCAGATTTAGCAGGGGATGTCTTTCCAGGTGGGCTCTCCATGGAATGTATGAATGCTCGTGAGGAGTAGCAAGATCAAGTGGAATGACTCGGAAACTGCTTGGAGCTGTAATAACAGTTGGCAGCTGGCTTTTCTAGCATCCCTGGTAGAGCCTATCTATAGTTCTAGCACGCAGAAAACAGAAGCAGGGGGATCTCTGTGAATTTGAGGTCAGCCTAGTCTGTATGAGGAGTTCCAGGCTAGCCAGAACTAGGTAGTGAGACCCTATCTCAAAAAGAAATAATAGTAATAATAAAATTAGATGATATGGATTTCTCTCTCAGATGTAGCACATTGCCTGAAATCACTGATAGTTTCCTGCTGAAAGATTAGACTTTCCAACATCCCTTGTGGACTACTGAAACTTTTCAGCCCCTATAAGGAGCTACACCCCATCTTCTTCTATAGGGATTTTGACCATACGGGGGAAGGGTAACAGAGATGCCCCTTCACCCTGAATAAACATGGTCTTGCCTAACTAAAGTCAGACCAAGCCCCTCTCTGTCTTCTTTCTCTCTACAGCTGGCCTTAATTAATAGTCCTGTCCTGGGCTGACAAGTCAAGGACAACCTGTGCCACACAGGAAAGGCTATGAAAAAGACAGAAGGGGGACTGGAGAGAAAGCAGTGAGAGCACTGACTACTCCTGTAGAGAACTGAGGTTTGATTCCCAACACTCACATGGCAGCATACAACTACAGCTGGAGAAGATCTGATGCCTTCTTCTGGCCTCCAGAGGCATCCAGGATACAGGTGGTGCACAGACTACATGCAAGCCAAACACATGCACATTAAATATATCTGCGTGTCTATACATGCATACATACATACATACATACATACATTCACACACACAATTTGTTCTTAAAAAGTTGAGACTGTGAACTGGAGAGAAAACTCAGCTTTGAAGAGCACTGGTTGTTCTTCAAGAGCACCAGGATTCAATTCTCACCACCCAATGGTGGCTCACAATTGTCCCTTGATTCCTGGATCCATGGATCCTGGCTATGGGAGAAACTGTACATATATCGTTGTTTCAAAGCATATACTGCCTTCTGAAGAACTCTGCCCCAGCCCTCCATGCTGCTCCCACCTAATTGGTGCTGTTACTGCGTCTTCAAAAGGCCATTCCATCTTTCTGTCAGACCAGCTGCTTCAGGATGATGGGGAACATGGTAAGACCAATGGATTCCATGACTGTGGGCCCACTGTTGCACGTCTCTGGCTGTGAAATGAGTTCCTTGGTCAGAAGCAATGCTGTGGAATACCATGATGATGGATAAGGCATTCTGTCAGTCCACAGATGGTGGTTTTGGCAGAAGCGTTTCGTGCAGGAAAGGCAAATCCATAACCAGAATAGGTATCTACTCCAATAAGAACAAAACGTTGGCCTTTCCATGGAGGAAGTGGTCCAATGTAGTTAACCTGCCACCAGGTTGCTGGCTGTTCACCTCGAGGTCATCCGGGACAGTGGGGAACAGAAACAGCGCAGGATGTGTAGCACATCCTGAGAATCAGCATCTAGAGCTCATCAACTACATGAGGAAGTATAGGGGAGATACTTAGAAAATGGCGCCTGCTCCAGCTTGTTCCCAGGCAGCTGCCATGTTCCCAATGCTCCTCGGCTCTGACCAGGGCTCCAGCTAGCTAGATGCACAGGCCCTGGCACTACGAGATGCCAGGGTGGGGGATGGCTCTGCCAATCCCCCACGCTGCATCCACAAAGCTCGGCTGAACCCCAGACAATGTCTGCCATCCTTGCAGTACCCGGTAGAAATGAGACTCTTAAAGCTTAATGATCATCTAAAGGATTTATATATTTAGAGATGCTCAATCAATAAGATGCCCACACAGAGTTGTTACCCAGTATCTAACCTTTTGATAGAAGTTGCTACCCAGGACAGCCTTTGACCCATCCATGGTTCTCCACGGCTGATAGCCTCCTTCTTCTTCTCCCTTTCCTCTTCTTCTCCCCTCCCCTTCCTTTCATTCTCTCCGAGCTCTACCTCCCCTTCTACTGCCGAAACACCTAGCTGCACTGCAAACACAATGTAGCAGAGTAAGTATCTTGCTACAAGGAATTAGAAGGCAGCCTGCACTACAGAAGGAGACTTTTCAAAAAACCTAAGAGGCTGGAGCCAGCTCAGCAGTTAGCCTCACCTGCTATTCTTGCAGGGGATTGGGGTGTTCTAATCCTATGGTGCCTCAGAACCACGGGTAGACATGAATGTGATGAACTTACATGTAGGAAAAACTTATTTACATAAAATTTAAAAGGGGGTAGGGCCTGAGAGGTATCTTAGCAGTTAGCAGCACCTGTTCCTCTTTCGGCAGACCCTGGGGTCTGTTACCAGCACCCACATGCTGGCTAACAACCATCTATAACTCCAGTTTTGAGGGAATCCAACACCCTTTTCTGGCCACTGTGGGCACTACACATATATGGTACACGGACTTACATGTAGGAAATACACCCATACACATTAAAAATAAAGGAAAAAATTAAAAACCAAAACTAAGTTCGAGTGGTGACAAACATCCTTAATCCCAGCAATTAGGAGGCAGAGGCAGGCAGATCTTTGTGAGTTAGAGCCCAGATTGCTCTACATACTGAATTCCAAGACAGCCAAGGCTACAGAGAAACCTTGTCCAGAAAACAAACAAACAACACCTGAAGTAAATAAAACACACAAACAAACATATAACTGGAAGTTATCATTACAGGAGAATTTTAAAAAACTTTTATTATTTAATTATAATTTTTAAGATTTATCATATACACATATATATTTATTATATATACATATATGTATATATGCATATATACACACACACACATATATATATATATATATATGTGTGTGTGTGTGTGTGTATACATATATATACATAGATGTACACTGTTGCTGTCTTCAGACACATCAGAAGAGGGCATCAGATCTCATTATAGACCATTGCAAGCCACCATGTGGTTGCAGAGAATTGAACTCAGGACCTCTGGAAGAGCAGTTAGTGCTCTTAACCACTGAGCCATCTCTCCAGCCTCAATTATAATTAAATATAAATTATTCATTTATATTTATGGATGTTTTGCCTACATGTATGATCGTGTCTTACAGAACAGTGTATCTGTATATGCTGTGTTTCAGTTTAGAAATACACTGTAAATACTTTTCTACTTTCAAATTTGAGGCAGAAGTATATTTCTAAATGACTGTCAAGTTTTACACAACAGGATGCCTTTTGTAAATCTGATCAGTTTTGTGGGGGAGGGGTTGTTTTGTTTTAAGTTCTTTATTTTATCTTTGTTTGTTTGTTTTTGTTTTTTTGAGACAGGGTTTCTCTGTGTAGCCCTGGCTGTCCTGGAACTCACTCTGTAGACCAGGCTGGCCTCAAACTCAGAAATCCGCCTGCCTCTGCCTCCCAAGTGCTGGGATTAAAGGCAGGCACCACCATCTCCAGTCTGAAATTATTTTATTTTTAATCACAGTACTAAGGGGACAGAGGTAGTTGGATCACTGTGAGTCTAAGGTCAGCTTGGTCTACATAGTAAGTTTCAGACTAGCCAATGTGACACAGTGAGAACCAGCTTAAGTTAAAAAAAGAAAGAAAGGAAGGAAGGAAGGAAGGAAGGAAGGAAGAAAGAAAGAAAGAAAGAAAGAAAGAAAGAAAGAAAGAAAGAAAGGGCTTTATATGAATAGTTTACCTGCATGTGTGTCTGTGCACTGAGTGTGTGTGCTCGGTGCCATCGGAGCCCTGGAGAGATCATTAGATCCCTTGGAACTGGAGTTACAGATGGGTGTGACAAGCGAGGACTGGGAGTTCCCAAATCCCCAGGTCCACTACAAGCACTCTTACCCACTGAGCCAACTG